ATTGGGCTTTCGTGGGGGGGTTGGCGCAGGGGGGTTGGGGGAGGGGGGGGTGGGAGGGGGGGGGTGCGGGGGGGGGGGGAATTTTGATATAAGGTAGTGATCTATGAAAAGCGACAAAATTCGAAATATTCATCGTATCTATTTTCATGATAATTTATACAATGCGTTCTGAATTACATGAAGAAACTACATATGAAAAAAGACGTAAGAAATGCATGAAGACTTCAAACATAAAAGGAAAATGCAAGAGTCTAATCTTTCGCCAAATAATACTATCAACGTGTAGTAAATTTTATTCGACGATTTTTCATTAGAGCCTACAAGTTAAAATAAATAGTTGACTGTTTGGTATTGATTTTGAAACGTTTAATTCGATCGTTCTACGATCTTACGCAAAAATTCAAAAATGATCAGATACATACCCATTGTTCAGCAAGTTTTGCTAAATCGAGTTTGTCAAGTAGATAGTGTTCAACTGAACACAAAAGCAAATATTCTAATTTATCATTCGATAATGTTATTCGTAAATAGTTTTTAATGAATTTCATTTTGCTGAAGCTTCTTTCGTTAGAAGCTTTGTGTGCTGTTGATGTGAAGTGTTGTTCGAGTTTGCCTGCATTTACATAAATAGCAACAGCAACGATTAGTTACAGGTATTTATTCGAACAAACTTATTAAGTAAACGCTCAATTACCTTTCGTTTTGCTGCCCTGACTTTTCATCTTACTTCATCTGGATGCACCAGTTGATACCCAAGCATCGGTATGTTTTTCACTTCCTGGTCCTAAATCATTGACAAAATGTTCCTTCTATATATCGAGGCACTCGTCAAAATTTTGTTGAGCGTGAGGGTGAGGGCGTGAGTCTTAACTCTCATCTATATCCATCCTCAACATACTTCTAATTTAATGATGGGTGTATCGATTGATGTTTTTTTGCGGTGTTACAAGGTTAAGCGCAGCTGTTATAGTGCCGATTTGATTGTTCCATAAATCCAATCACACAATATTTGTGAAGCCATAAAAACAGATATTCGTGATGAATTAGTTCCGCTAGCTACCAACAATGAACCACATCGCTCGCAGTCACTAGTACCAGCAGTTACTCCTACGTCAAGTCAAACTCATCTTTCCACTTATTTCTATATTTCTCATCTAAAAATATTTTTGTATATCGTCATTTCATTAGTAGTCGATCTAAACTTCGTGAAAAACTGTATTTATCTCCATCTTCATCATCGCCTACGGAAAAATACTTTTAACCGGTAAGATTTACTTATTTCTCTGTAATCTACCTACTTCAAATGATTCTCTTGAGATCAATCAACATTTTCATATTGATAATTTAGTAACTGAAAAATTATAGATTATATTTCACGAACTTTGAAATATGAATATAGGAAATACAAAAAAATAAAAGTGTAAATTCTCTCATAGTTAAAAAATGTAGTTTTGCTTTGTTCAAACTATCTTGTTTATGGAGAGAAGAAGTGCAGCGCATGTGGAACTATTACAGAAGTTCAATGTTCTCTCTCTTAACGAATTAGTAGTGCTGAAATAGCAGCAATTAAGTTAATGACAACAGCTATAATTGCCAATATTGATGCAGCACCAAGCGATACTTCAGCAGGAAGTGAACCAATGTAAGTAGCATAGGAAATACCAACTGCAAGACCAATAATACCCACTACCAAGGAGAGAATTGGAAGAACTTTAATTAATGTAACTACTATTGTATTTTTATTGATAGATTCTATTATACACGCCACAAGGCATAATGCAGAAATCGCTGAAAAGATACAGGCCAATGTAATGAATGTTTTAGCTGCCGCCATCTTATGACATGAACTAGCGGCTTCTCCTTCTGCTAAAGGACATAAGCTGGATGGATCGAGACATATTTGAATTCCTGCATCACTTGTTGAACATGAACGCCATAGACCATTACTCGTTTTCCTTGATTCAGCATTTTCTAAATTTATCTTTACCACAGACCTAAAAAGAACAAAATCATTGAAAGTGTTCTATGTCCAGAGTGAAATATTCATCTTTTTTACATACCACGCAGGTAACGCATTACTGATGATATAAAGTATACAAGCAATAGCCATCAGACCAGCACATGCAGCCGCTAGAATTCTCTTATTCAAAGCCATTCTTCTAAATGGTTGTTCGATCTAAAACAATCCGATCAACTCTTTTTTTTCGTGAATTGTACTCATTTACATCAAGTTGCGCGCACGTGTGTGCGTGCAATGAACGACAGAATGAAAAGAGCTTTTATGATTAACGGAGTTATATATACACACTTGATAAATTCTGTATAAATATTTGATATAGTCAATCGAAGGATGACGCTATGAATAATACAGAATTCAACATGCTCGCCCTGGGTGAATTTATGCAATGGTACGAAACAGAAATGAGTGCCGTATTGTGTTTCACTTAATATTGACAGTTCTTTTTGCGTAAAAGATTAAGCAGTTTGAAATCTGATATAACTGATATAAGCAGTAGATGATTCACCCACCCACCCACCTACTGTTGTTCACTGACACCTACATAGCAAAAAAAATTCGTTGCGTTTGTGTTATGAAGTATTAATAGAGTGCATATAAATGAACACTGTGGAAATGAGATAACAAATGATAAGATAAAAGATTTGACACAAAAGTCATTATTTTCTATAAAGCAAATTTTAATTCAGCAAACTTGTTTTTCTCTTTTTCTCACTTTCGATCCACATCGGTTCTGGGCTTGTGTTTCTTTATTAATTAAAAGGCAACGGTCAACACCAAGCATGTAAGTTATACCATCCACATTAAAAATCGCGTATGATTAAACATCTACAGTTCTTGGTGCCACACCTCGGTAGTTATTTTTATAAATGAGAAGGACACGCAGTTTCTTCTTTGCATCCGGTAATGTTATAAGTTTAGCATACGGCAGAATTATTGGTGGAACACATGTGAAATGGGTTATATTAGGTGATATGAAGTTATTACCAAGGTCTGGTAGACTTGACCATTGAATAATTATGATAATGATAAGGAAGATCAAATATAGAATCCACAGAACATACGAGAGCAAATTGAATAATCATCGTCCGATATTGATACCACTGAAAATTCTGCTTTGGACGACGTTTCTGCATTAAAATACGCACCATGAAGAGCAAAGCTAAGTGCAACAATAAGTAAGATTGGAACAACATAATTCACAGTTGATTCATACCAAATGTACCATGACGGTATAATATCACAAAAGCATACACCTCCACACAAGTTGTAAGTACTACCAAATAAAAATAGAGGAGTGATGTATAGAGAGCAAAAGTAACTATTGGTATGTAATGAAATAAAAGACGAGATCGCACTGTTCGGATGAAATTTGAATGAAATGTGAGATTATGTCGTTCGATTGATATCCATAGCATGATGAAAATAGCACCATGTCAAATTCCGTAATCTACAAATTGTTGTAGAAGACAGAGGACAGATCGTTAAAAATTTATTGTCATTGACAAATCAATGACGAGATGAATCCAGTTGAAAAATAGTATGACTATGACATCATGATTGTGAAGAAGTTGCCGTGCACCTTTTGTTGCTATAGGGTGATATAATACAAATAAATAGCAAGAAAAAGCCATTATTTCCCCGAAAATAAAGAGTGACAACTCGATGTTTACTCATGTAGGCGAAACTTCGTCGATGGTCGCGATAGAGTTCATAAAATAATGCCAAAATGTAACTAACGGCTGGGAAAAGGGATTTAATGAGCGGTGCAACTAAATCCCATTTCACTTTTGTAATTATCGCTCATTAAATGCTGAACAAGTTATTTAAAACATCGATAGGATTGCATTATTCATTAAAGTATAAAAGCCTTCTTCCAATACAAAGTTGTCTTGAAATTGGTCATCGGACAGTGTCACTTTTGTCACAATCAGATATTTCCTCACGTTTCACATGTTCTTGAACATGTCCACAGATATTTTATGTCATCATTAGTTGTATATTTAACTCTTATTTCACACGAATATCATTTCGGTCTCAACAGAGATAATTTATGAAAGAGATTTGATTACGGCAGGCGGCTCATAGATGTCAAAACCGAGTTTACAAGCTCCGCTTATGCATAAATGAGCGTTTCCAAAAGCTGTGAGGATATATTCTTAATTATTAACGATACGAACGATGTATAATACTTTGCTTTAAAATTGTAAATAGATATATAATCGCGGTTGAGTTATACAAGGAAACTGCCAGAAAATGTAATTTAAAGTGTGTTTCAATTTTTAGGGAATATTGTGAGGAACGCTGCTATTTCTTAGTCTCTGCACCTTATGTAAAAAAAATAAATATTCAATGATGGCTGGATGTAATGACTGGGCGAACGACATATGTATTTCATGATTTTTATGTTTGAAGAAGAAACTTTCACTCTTCTGATCCTATAGGAATGGAGAACGAGAATTGCGTTCTCCATTCTGGAAACGTCATAGGCTTTTCAGTCTTGTCAATAAGAAAAGTTGTTTTTCATTCTCCTCACTACTAATAAACAACCAGTTGACGATATGATTTGTACTCATATTGCATTGTCATATAATGAACAATATATAATTGTATAACCAGTTAAATACAGTGCATACCTATGCATATAAATATATATATATGGCAGATTTTCGATGGATAATATGGTTAAAGTACACAATGATCTGAGGAATATTGCAACATATTCTTGTCCTTTGAAAAATGCCAACACTTCAGTCTCTCTATTTTAATCGGAGAACCCAAGACAAAACAAACATCAATTAATCAATTAGAGTTTGTCTTCAATTTTATTTTCTAAAACGTCATTTTAACCCATTTTTAAAAAGATTCAAAATGATAAAAGACAAAAATGATATTATATTAGTAATTGTGAGGCGTAATAAGATGCCTATGTAGTCATAGATAATTCAGAAGAAAACAAATATATGATTGACATTTTTTCAAATCGTTTTTTGGTTCCTATCCAAAGTAACTCAATGAAATAGGATTATGATTATGATATTACTTGCGTTAGCCTTTGTTTCTAAGAACAAATTCTCTTGGAAAAAATGAAAATTAACTAAATGATGGTGGTCTATTAGAGTTTCATACATCGAGTGTTTTCGAATACAAACTTTTTATACTATTTGAATAAAATGTGATCTTCAATCCAAGAAAATCTTTAGGAAACCGTTGTTTTCCGTACTAGAATGACACTAAAATGATCAGTGGCATTATTCGGATATCGGCTATATCTTAGATTCCTCTCATTTTTACATGAGATCCAGTGAGCTCAGTAATCATTTCTAGATCAGATTTTTTCATGTGAATATTGAGTGGATGAAGAAATAAAAATAATTTTTTCCTCTGTTTTTCTCTCTGTCAATCTCAACTGAATTTTTTCATGTCACTTGTGACATACATCGATATACTCAGTCTGCTGACGGCCGAAGGCTGAAAACAAGAAATTACTATGAAAAGAAATAATTCAGTTGGAAACAACAAAACTTATTGAAGAGCACGAGTTATTATCTGGTCGTTTTTTAAGTATAAATTGACGCATGACATTTTATTATCTTTTGAAGACAGACTCTTTAGCACATATTTCAACGAATTGACAGTGATGTGGGTCACACTCTCGACAAGGATGTAAGTGAGTAGTATTCTATTAGATCATCCTCACATCCTCACCCTCACCCACCCTTATTATGCTCCAAATATATCTTCATTCTTTTTAATATTTCCTCTAGACAATAGAATGTTAACACAAAATATAAATCTTATAATTTGTCCATATTGTATTATCCTATAATTATTAACCTATAGTTGCATTTGCTACTTAGAAAACTCCATATCTGTACGTATAATTTCATTTAATTCTGTGTTTCTTCTGGCTGCTTATGTGCTCTTGAGAAGGCTCAAAGACGAAGTGCTTGATTGATTCTGCGTAAGAAACTAGAATAACGAAAGAAGTAAATGATCGAGAGAAATTAGGAATAAGAACTAGGGATGCACCAATCCTATAAATCTGTTATCAAAGATGAATTATTTCTTATATCTAAAACCCTCAATCCGTACCAGTCCTTTCAGGTTTTCAAACACAGTTTCGATTAAGCTAATCAACGCAATCATCGAACTTCAAAAAAACTAACTTGTAAGAAAAATGGGCTGGAATTTTTTTAGAGATAGGAAATAATTCCTTAATAAATAGTTTTTAATATCTTGTAAGACAAATGATTAAAATGCAGGCTACCATCTCCATATGTTTATTAAAGAACCTGAGAACGAATCAGATATAATTGTTACCACATTTTGTTGTGTTGTCTGAATACTATTGAACGAATATCTGTAAGTTTACCTAACAAGTGGTTCGAATGGCTCGGAAATATCCTGATGCACTTTCGGAAGTTAACAGACAATCAGATTCATGGGTTATAAAACAGGTATCTACAGACACTTGTTTTTTATCACGACGTTTGGAGACTTTAGTCAAACACTTTGAAGAATTTGCTCTCATCTAATTTCTTAATGACAATGAACGAATGAACGTTGTTTTAATCTGTTTAAAAAAAAATTTTTTTAATGATAAAACGAGAGAAATGACATTGTATTTGTAATGATGCAGTGCAATAAATGGCCCGTATAATCATATATAACTAATGATGAATTATAAGATTAAAGTGAATGAATTTTTAATTTTGTTTTGACGCTAAAAGACGGGGGAAATATTTTTCAGATAATTTAGAAAAAAGTATCTCAAATTCATCTTCTATATTCATTTTGAAATATGTCATATTCTAACACAAGCTCGCTTGATATTGTTAATGAAATAAGGTGGCAGTTAGTCGTATTTGTTCGATGCTGGTCTGCGATTCTTTTTACTCTTGGTTTAGTGGGCCATATATTGAATATCTATGTATTTACACGTCCTATACTCTATTCTAATTCATGCGGTCGATACTTTTTCGCATCGACAATAACTGGCCTTTTGGTTGTAACTGAATATCTTTTAATTCGTGCTCTTCAACTGGGTTATAGTATTGATCTAATGAGTACATCAATAGTTGCGTGCAAAATTTTGGCGTTTAGTTTTATTCCTATAAGGTAATACAATTTAATACGATATACATATCATACTATCTTCAATTTTTATATTTTAGAACTTTGCCTTCGTGGTTTATTGCCTTAGCCTGTCTTGACAGGTATGTGTTTTTCGGAAATATACACTGCTGTAATAGAAAAAAGGTAAAATATGCAATATGAAATCGTTCTTTAGATACTTATGCAGTTCAACTTCTACAAATTTGCGTCAATGGTGCAATACTCGCAATGCTACTCGTCTCATATGGATCGTGGTATTATTTATGGCTGTTATAAACAGTCATATGTTTGGTTTTTACACAATTATACCGGCAGAGCAAATTTGTGACGCTACCCCAACTTCTTACGTGTTATTTTACGGTATTTGGAATCTAATAATATGGACAGTTATTCCAATTCCTTGTATGATTGTTTTTACTTTCCTTACAATTCGAAATATTCATCGAGGAAGAAATAGAATAGGGATTGACGATACACAAAATGATCGACAATATATTCAATTCAAGAAAGAACGACAGCTCATCCGCATGACAATTGGTCAAGCATTTTTACTTGGTTTACCATCAGCGGTTAACTCAATAACACATCTCTATATTGCCCCGGCTGGTATTATAATGGCAAACAATGATATCGAAGAAGCGACCATTACCAATGCTTATCATATCATCGGTTTTGTTTCTCTATTTGGTCCAAGTATGAGTTTTTATCTATTTACATTATCAAGTAAATTGTTTCGTAAACAATTAATATTGTTATTTCGATGTGGCCTACCAGAGCAAACTCAGTCTCAATTAACTAGATCTGTACAAAACCAATAAAAACTTCACCGTGCATGTTGTATTGAGTAAAAAAGTTTTAATGTCACAAATAATCATTTTTGTCCATATAATTATAAGTGTTGTATCGTCGTTTCTTATTCAATAATACGAATCGCATTGAGGGCGAGAGTGTGGATGAAAAGGGTCTCTCTTACATCCTTCATCCATTCTCAATCATTTATCTCGAGTGAATAGTTTTTTCTTGAAAAGAAAATTAAACAAACATAATATACATGAAGACGTAGAGGTGTCAATAAAGTATCCTTACAATTCAAGTTTATTGTTTACTTTGTCGACTAAAAGCAACCATATGACTTTTTCACGAAAGAACTGACATTCATAGAATCCCTTTATTGTGATTGTGGACAACGATTATTTTATGCATTTCCTTCCAATATAGAAGTGTCGAAGAGAGGTAGAAATATTTTACTATCCACTCTTTATTCCCTTCTCTGAAAGAAAGCGTTATAACGTCATAAGTACAATCATTGAAATGCAAAAGATTTGTTGACATAATCTAGTCAGATTACAGTGTTTTATAAATCAATGCATTTTTAACGACCGTGATCGCACATGACTATGCGAAGGATTTTCGGGATCGAGAAATTCGAACCAACGGTTAGCTCTTTCTTATTTACCGAGCTTCAGTTTCTTCGTTTCCCTTTCAAAAAGAGACTTTTTTCTGTATCTTTTATATAAGGTAGTGGGCTGGACACTATCGCTGAATATGATGTGTAAGAAGACGGTAGTTTAGGGGCTTATACAAAAAACATTTAATGTATCTCACATTATAATAGTTGTAATTCAAGAAATCACAATAAGTGATGTGACCTCATTATCATTATTGTTTTATATGCTGCGACACGTTAGGTCTATCCATAGGATTGTACCGGAAATATGTATCCAAAAAGGTATGCTCCTCAGCGCAATTTCATCTTGTTTGCTACAAAGACATCGACTATATATAAATAGTATTTTAAACATATATGAAACACTATGAGGGATGCTGTTTTCACGTCAAATCATAAAATAAAACACTTTCTATCTAGTTTTTTGTGGTAATGAACAACTTATAGGCGTTTCTTTTGAAAGCTACTTGAAAGATGAGATTTGTAAGTCTCACCCAGTGTCCGTGATTTTTCGAGTTTCGCGAATAAAATATGTGGCTTGTTAGCTCCTTCAATTGAAGGGAACAATAGAATATGCACTATAGATCACACAGTTACGAAGAATTTTAGTAGTTTCGGTTAAAGACCGACCCAGTATGAACGAGGTACCTTTTTTATATGAAAACATCGTAGACATTTATTATGTATACTGTAGCACATTGCTTATTATTTAAATCTATACAAATAGTTATTAATATAGTTGAATTTTCATTTTTTTATAAACTTTATCCTGAATTCGATGGCTGAATTCTTGAGTTACTTCAAGACTGCAACCTTTTCAAATGAAATAATAACTGTTAGGCTTTCATGGGCAGCAAACAATCAATCCACAGACAAACCGCAATGATCTCAGAAATGAGGAATCACACGGGTCTGATCAGAACGGCAGTTGACAATATTTCATTAAGATGAATATGCATGATGGTTGGCTTCATTTCCCTATACTCTATCAAATACACCTAATACGGAAACTTTTTCACTGATTTAAACATAGGAACAGAGAAAATGTTTTAGATAATGATAGGAGGAAAAAGTGAATTCCCACACAGCATTCGAAGTACGGTAGAGAGAGAGAGACTTCATTTCCAAGGTCGCACTCCTTTCTGGACAATGATCAGTAAGTACGATCATAAATTCTAAAGCAACTCATGTTGTTGCAATTCTCTGATTAGATAGCGAAAAATAGTGAATCGATTTCGGCAATAATACAAAGAACTAAACTAAAAGAAATGATGTCTCTAATCTTATGGTACGAACACGATAGAAATGAAAGTCACGATTGTGTTGTATCGAATAATGAAGTAATACGAAGGTCAAAATCAGTTTTGTCCAAATTGATCATTGGTACCCATGAATGAAAAGTAATGAATTTCATTGATTGAAACATATGGAATCCATTTTGAGAAAAATATCCACTGATATTCAAAGGAACATCAAGCCAAACGAATAAAGCAGGATTTGTTGCTGTTAGTGTGATGCTCACATCCGTTGAAGTGATTTGTTCAAGTTTTTCGATTCGAAGATTTGGTTGAGAAAGTTCATAATTCTTTGGTTGAGTCAAAAATAAAGTTTGTTCAATGAATTTTTTGTTATTATTTAAATGACAATGAAGAACACATTGACTATTATTCAAACAACCAGCAGTTCTCATAATTGCTGAATACGGCAGGTCAATGACGTGTCGAACGGTTGGAAAATCAATCGAAACATCAAATTTAAATGATAATCGAACAGAGAATTGATCTACTGGTACCAATGAACACATTAATTGACCTTTTACACCAGTGAACAGCTCATTAACAACATAAAATGAAAGTTGTGCTTTTTCATCCGTAATATTCGCTAAATAGGGTTGAAGAACAATTAGTGGATAAACAAATTCATACATATTTTGAACATAATAATGAGCCATTTTCCATTTTAATTCGTATTCGACTGTAGACGATGTTGGTGCTTGCCAAAAATCACCTATTTGCCAATACATCAAACCCATTGTATGCCTATTAGAAAAGTAATTTATTAACTTTGCTAAATATTGGAAGATCTGTTTACCCCTGACTCGTTTTTGGGTCGATCATCTCGATTGATGAATGTAATCGACACACATCACTGATGCTTTTCAACGTCATCGCTTGATTTATCTGACTCAAGTAAATCATTTGTGAGAAATTTTTCAACGAATCAGTTGTTACTGGAATCGGTAAATTACTCCTTATTTGTCTCCTGCAACAAGCGGAATGAAATACCTCAAAACTTTGTTTTTTAACATACAATATATTATCCACTTTAGTATCGTGTTTTCGATGTTCGAAAAACGAACTTCCAAACTGTAAATCACTTAGATTTGATGTTACTTGAAGCCAAGAATCCAGACTTGGTAAAGAATTCATTCCTGTTTCAGACAAAAATCGAGTGATGGGATATGTATTGGGATTCCATGTGTCATTACTAAAACCATAGAAATGAACATCACCTAANAACTTACTTCGCTACATTCATCCAAAACTTTCAACCATTTCCAATACTTAACTCAGATAAGCATCACGCATAATAAAATTCTTCTCTTCTTCTAGATTTCTTACCCAAAATAACCAAACACGATTGAATACATCGAACTGTTTATTACTCAAACGAACTCCACCAAGTACCAACGGCAATATACATCAACACACGAATCTTCCAATGTATCATACACTGAGATCCTCAATAATTACTCATCACAACATCTCTACGTTCAACAGCAAACACATTTCATCTGCCTTTTTACTCAATAACAGCAGTATAGTCAGTATACGCCACTTCAGAATTTCCTCATCATTAGGTAGATTTTGATTATTTGTTGTTATTTTAATGTTTTTCCATTGAAATAATGATAAGAATCAATATTTAGAGTTAACCCATTTGAAAAAGAACTCTTACAAGTTCGAAACCGGCCATGGCAGTTTCTACTCACCCTCTTTTGGAAGAGATATTCCTTCAAGCTGAACTTTGGATTTAGTCTCTTGTTATGCAAATTGCTGTAGCACCTGATGATCGATTCTTCTGATAAGAGTCGAAATCCGGATAGTGGTAGTTATAGTTTTGAGCTCACCCTATTACGAAAGAATTCTCTGCTTTGTTTAAGGTTCTACAATTGAAGACTGCATGTTCAGTCCTTCGATTTCAAATATAGAAGATTATGCGGTACCAAAGCTGCCTGTCGAGCCCCTTGAGAAGGAACAAAATGCCTCGTGGTGTTCTTCTTTGTATAATTCAGCCTCAAGGTACCTGTAGTTGCTGTCACCGTCTGATGAGTCCTGTCAGCAAGGACGAAGTCGCGATCGCTGTTGCTTATTGGCCCACACACCCTGTCTCGTAAATCAAAACATGAGGAAATTTGATTTTTGTAGGAGTGAATAAATATTTTTAGAGAAGCAAACTAAGAAAACGATGCGTTAAAATCAATTGGTGCAAATAGAATTCATGTTGTCAGTCTTCTTCTTTTGAAAATCGATATCGTCAGAACGAACGCGTATTCGATTCGTATTAGTGCAATTGCTGTATACCATCCGGCTGGATCATAAATTTGTCACCGAAATCTCTTTCGATCGCCTGAATTACATGATGTGGAGTATTAGATACAGCGAATCCACTAAAATCAATTGGAATATTTTTAAGTCAGAAATAGGGTCTTCATTTACTTGGCGGCCGATGAATACTCGTAAGTGATTCTTCCTCCAGCATCAGTTATTTGCTTCTTTACGTTGGCTACTAGACCAGGTTCAGCGTTTCCAACGTTGTAGATGATGTATGAACCAACAACAACATTCTGTGACATTGTCAGTAAGATGCTGAGTAAATAGATAAATAGATGAAATTTTATAATATGTATACGCAGAGCAGGCATGTAGAAGCTAAGAAAGACTTACACTTAGTAATACGAGTAGATTGGTTTGTTTCGGGTCTATATGAATTTGCACAAATAGAAATAAAACAAATAAATTGGATTTCACCCAATACTAAAATGAACACACATGATGGTATTGCTGCTATATAACGAACGATACATATGATCAATCAACATACAAGCACGTTCACATGCGTCCTTGAATAGAATGTATTCTCCGAATGGTGGTTCTGCTTATTTCCCTAGTCTTTCTCACGAAGATAATGTTGATGAAATACTGAATGGGAATCACTCAATAGCATCTTGTTTTCTATCTCTCCTTTTCTTTTCTACTAACTGTATACACATTAGACATACACCTTTGGTGACTGAGTCAGTCGAATTGAGATGGCTTAAAAACGAGAAAAAATAGATTCTATTTCCGCAAAGCAAATAGTGCCTTCCAATATAATGATAAGTTCTAGAAACGGGAATCAGATATTGTTTTTCGCTATAACAAAAAGTTAAAACATAACTAGCATTAATGATAATAACGAGCACAGAATTTTATCCATATCTATTCTCACATAAATATTAGTCGAATAAGTGAATGTACAAATAAACTTTGCATTTTCTCGTTTTTCGACTATTCAGGTAGAGCAGAAACAAAAAACCTTGAAGTTTGCAATATTAAGTGAGCACATTTTCGTGTGATAAAAAAAACTTTTCTCGAAAAGAATATCGACTCTTGGAGAGCAGTAAAATGGGCGTGTCTTATACTTTTCACATGCTTTACGATGTCAATTGAAGGTAGATAAATATATAAACTTACCTGTATTTCGCTTTACCTTTAGATTCGTTCGTAGCTATCGAAATATTAACAATACTCTTGAATATATATTTGTCTATGCGAATGAATCATGTTGTGTTTCTTTCGTTCTCTTTTTTCTTCTCTATTTATTTCTTTACTTCTTTATTTATTTTTGTTTTTCTCCTAGCGATCCTATACACGCGCCCTTCTATAAAGGTACGGACGACACCATAAACCTTACTGCACATAGTCGCAAATCATATATTCAAATTCTTCTAAGCAGATATCGTGCGTCTTCGTAACGTTTCACAAAGATTACTGCTCCTCAAACCACTTCTATATGGAAGCATATCAAAGCAAATATCCGACGACGATTACCGAGCGAGATCGTTAGGTAATGCATTAGTTCATTCAAAACATCGTTTTTCAAAAGTAGACAAAATTTCACAATATGTTTGTTAGTATAGATAGTTGACAAATATTGATACGTTTTCGAGCAGTATTGCGCAATTATTTGGAATATACTCGTGTAAAATTAGGAAGGAAGTGAAGAAATTATCCGATAAGGTATTGATAAAACGAATAAAATTACTGATCTGATGATTAGTTGCTTATGTTTATTAAGGGTGTGAGGGTGAGATGGACAGCCATGGTTTTAAGAGTTTGATTCCACTACGAAGCTCATCAGATGTGAAAGCGGCTTCACGGCTCAAAGAGATACTACAGATTTGTTTGATTAGATGGAAAACACTATTTATTTGAATGGCTGTTCATTTTATTCAGTCGCTTCAATGAATACATCAAGTGTGCTTTGCAGATCTTTGGCTGGTATCACTTGTGTATATTTCGCGTGTACTTTCAGAGTACATAAAGTTGTGAAATAAATAAATAGATAGATGGAATAGAATTAGAACAAAGAGTTGGAAATTAGAGAAAACATGTCAAATGAACACTGAAATACAAATACAGACTCGATCGATTTGGCTTATATTATTTTTTTGTACGCGACTTCTATACGCACTTGTCAACGGATTGGGAAATGTGGACTCGCATAGGAAGAATAGCAGTCGGAGTAGTAACAGCAAAAAACAAAGCGTGACCTTCAAGACAGAGGAAAAACACCTTACACAAATAAATTACAGCTAGAGCAATGAACCACGGCAGCTTTTTTCATCCTCAGGCACATTCAACTTCAGTTTGTAATAACATTACTATCTTTATCCAAGTTATCTTCAACGGTGTTCCGGTATCCTTAGTGTTCTTTCGTAACTAAATCAATGAGAATGACTGAAGAGGATATTTAACATTGATGCTTAGTTTTAGTGATGTATTGTTGTGATTTTCTTTGAATACCTCTCTTGTAGACGCAAGTTTTCAGCCAATATTCAAAAATCATTGAAATTTAACGTACTTCTGATTAGAAGAACAGCATATTACATAGAGTATTCGATGCAAACGAGCATTTACTCCGATAGAGTAAGAAAACTGAATTAAGTACATTCATTTTGGAGACTTTGTGCGAAAAGTATTCAAGTTTTCCATGTTTCTAACGTTTTTACTGAAATTTGCAATAAACTTGACGATACTTTAAAAGATAACAGGAGAAAGCGTGATATCGCCAGATCAAAGTAACTGTTCTTTCCACGCAATTATCTAGTTCATGTAAATTGAGCGATTGATTTTGACTTGATAAACTATGAGCTCTTGTTCAGCGCAAAAATGGTGTTTGTGTGTCAAGCAGTTTTGTTTTGTACAAAGTTTTAGTTGTCTTTGTGAAAGAAAGTCATACATATCCTTAAATAACCGACGAAACGGATCAACTCAACGAGCTGGTGAATCCGAATCGATATCCAGTCCAAAAAAGATATTCAAGATTTACATGAAAGTGTTCCGTTTTTGCTACTTTATTGGCGCAAATTTAAAACTTAGAGCAAAGTGCATCACTTATATGAGGATCTCACTTGACCTTACACTTTCAGTTTAAATCTCGATCTGGATCATTTTTTAAATAAAACTATTGATCATTAGTCAATTACTAACGAAAATGAGCGATTTTGCCTACTGTAATTCTTCCGTTTAGTTTCTATTATAACTATCTTACGTTCACCATTACTCTCAAGAAACGATCGTCGCGTGAGTAGTTTGGAACTCCTCTATTAAACTCATCTTCATCCTCACTGCTACAATGTACTCACTTTTTGAGTACCCAAAAAAAATGAATGAGAGAAAGAGGCTGTCCTTACCTGAGTCGAAATGCAGTAAAATATACTAAGAGGAATATATGTATATACATATATATATGAAAAAAGAAAGAGGAAAGGAAAAAAAGAGAAAAAGAATAAAATCAGAGAAAAAAGGGATTCTTACTGAAGTCTAAATAAATAGTCGAATGTATCGGTAGAAATCTGAAAGAGCATAAAAACCAGAAGAGAGGGGGAAAGATTCATACCGAAGTATTGGTAAAAGGACGAGCTATTGAATACATGCAAACATTATGAAGATGAGTGATAGTTCGTCAAAAAGAACGTGGGATAGCAACTTCTACTATGAAGGCAAATGACTATACTTTCGCAAACGAAGAGAATGTAAAGAAATTAGAAAATGTTTAGACTTTCAAAAACGATGTAGTTGAACTACTAGATAATGGATGAACATTTCCAATGACTAAAGTTGGCTTCTTTCATTGCCCCATGGGTAGTAATTTCTATTCATCCGGGACTCCCACTGTTCGATGAAAAGGACATAAAGGTCATCCATTTTTTAGGATTCGACGAAGAACCATCACACCGGTACCTGATTATGCTTCAAACATCCGCATATATATTAAAAGCCCGTCTACGTATGGTTCGCTTACGAATGATGGGCATATGATGAACGGCGATTTTGATAGTCACAAACTAGAGCGTTTTTACCGAGAAAATGCTATATTTGAATTAAATTTAGATTGCAATGAACGGCGTTTAAGGCCCACTCGTCCCTAAAAAAAAATCGAATTTTTTGCTGAATTTTTTATGTGATCCGATGCAGTTCAATGAGCTGAATCCGAATATGTATGATTTATTTAGATAAAAGTTGATCTTCAAGCCAAAAACCGAGAAACACGCCTAAAACCGTTGACTCCAGAAAATAGGGCTTTCTACCAGGATTTTGATTCAAGCACAGCTGTTATCATGCTGATTTGATTGTTTCATAAATCCAATCAAGCAATACTTGTTAACCTGTAAAAACAGATATTAGTGATGAATTAGTTCCGCTAGCTACCAACAATGAACCACATCGCTCGCAGTCACTAGTACCAGTGTTTACTCCTACGCGAAGCCAAACTACAATCTTTCCCCTTATTCGTGTATTCCTTATCTAAGAATATTTTGGTATATCGTCATTTCATTAGTACTCGATCTAAACTTCGTGCAAAACCGTATTTATATTCATCATCGCCTACGGAAAAATACTTTTAACCGGTAAGATTTACTTATTTCTCTGTAATCTACTTACTTCAAATGATTCTCTTGAGATTTGATAGTTTATCATGATTAATGTCTAGAGAACATAACTTGTTTTATTTTCATTCTATAGAGTGAACAACAACATTCACGGCAACAAAGTAATCTCGCTAAGGGAGCAATTAAAATAGCCGAACAAGATGGCAAGATCAACGCTAAAATTCGAATACAGCTGAAGCAAAAACATAGTGTTCAACTTGAATAGTATTTCGTATTCATTAACGTACATTCACAAAAGTTTCCGTTCTCTATTTCTTATCCAGTTTTGCCTATGAGGGCTTATGCTAGGAGTACATGATGTTAACTTTGCTTACATCTTCTTGGCATTGACGTTCAAGGTGGTAATAATCTTTTTCACCAATTTTTTCATCTCAAATACTTATAGCAAGTCAATTAACTTGATCTGTCAGAAATGAGAAAGTCCGTCTGAATGGATTCGATAGTGCCCAAAAAGATCAATTAAAGCTGACCAGCGATATAATTATTCACTTGTTATATGGAGAAAATTTGAATTTTTTGTATCAAAATTGGTGTTGAATTTCGATAGTCATTCATACAGAGAATACGATAAGATTTGATAAGAATCATATATTAGCACTTCAACCTCAAGCAAGAACAGCCAACATTTTCATATTGATAATCTGATAACTGAAAAATTATAGATTATATTCCATGAACTTCGAAATAGGAATATAGGAAATACAAAAAAATAAAAGTGTAAATTCTTTCGTATTTAAAAAATGTAGTTTTGCTTTGATCAAACTGTCTTGTTTATGGAGAGAAGAAGTGCAGCGCATGTAGAACTATTACAGAAGTTCAATGTTCTCTCTCTTAACGAATTAGTAGTGCCGAAATTGCAGCAATTAAGTTAATGACAACAGCTATAATTGCCAATATTGATGCAGCACCAAGCGATACTTCGGCAGTAAATGGGCCAATGTAAGTAGCATAGGAAATACCAACTGCAAGACCAATAATACCCACTACCAAGGAAAGAATTGGAAGAACTTTAATTAATGTAACTACTATTGTATTTTTATTGATAGATTCTATTATACACGCCGCAAGGCATAATGCAGAAATCGCTGAAAAGATACAGGCCAATGTAATGAATGCACGAGCTGTCGCCATCTTATGGCATGAACTAGCGGCTTCATCTTTTGCTAAAGGACATAATTTGGATGGATCGAGACATATTTGAATTCCTGCATCACTTGTTGAACATGAACGCCATAGACCATTATTCGCTTTCCCTGATTCGGCATTTTCTAAATTTATCTTTATCACAGACCTTAAAAGAACAAAATCATTGAAAGTGTTCTATGTCCATAGTGAAATATTCATCTTTTTTACATACCATGTAGGTAACGCATTACTGATGATATAAAGTATACAAGCAATAGTCATCAGACCAGCACATGCAGCCGCTAGAATTCTCTTATTCAAAGCCATTCTTCTAAATAGTTGTTCGATCTAAAACAGTCCGATCAACTTTTTTTTTCGTGAATTGTACTCATTTACATCAAGTTGCGCGTACGTCTGTGCGTGCTATGAACGACAGAATGAAAAGAGCTTTTATGATTAAGGGAGTTATATGTACACCTGATGAATTCTGTATAAATATTTGATATAATCAATCGAAGGATGACGCTATGAATAATACATAATTCAACATGCTCGCCCTGGGTGAATTTATGCAATCGTACGAAACAGAAATGAGTGCCGTATTGTGTTTCACTTAATATTGACAATTCTTTTTGCGTAAAAGATTAAGCATATAATAAGTTTGAAATCTGATATAACTGACATAAACAGTAGATGATTCACCCACCTACTGTTGTTCACTGACGCCTACATAGCAAAAAAAAATTCGTTCAGTTTACGTTATGAAATATTAATAAAATGACAAGATAAAAGATTTGACACACAAGTCATTGTTTTCTATAAAGCGACTTGTAATTCAGCAAACTTGTTTTTCTCTTTTTCTCACTTTCGATCTACATCGCTTCTGGGTTTGTGTTTCTTTATTCGCCAAGCATGTAAGTTACACCATCTACATTAAAAACCGCGTATGATTAAGCATCTACAGTTGTTGGTGCCACAGCTCAGTGGTTATTTGTATATAAATGAGCAGGACACGCAGTTTCTTCTTTGCATCCGGTAATGCTATAAGTGTAGCATATAGCAGAACTATTGCTAGAACATATATGTTAAACGGGTTATATAAGGTGTTATGAGGCTATTACCAAAAGTCTGGTAGCCTTAATCATTGTATAATTATGATAATGTTAAGGAAGATCAAATATAAGATCCACAGAACATACGAGAGCTAATTGCATAATCCGTGTCCGATATTGACGCCACTAAAAATTCTGCTTTAAACGACGTTTCTGCACTAAAACACGAACCAAAAGAGCAAAACTAAGTGCAACAATGAGTAAAATTGGAACGACACAATTGACAATTGATTTATACCAAATGTACCATAACGGTATAATATCACAAAAGCATACACCTCCACACAAGTTGTAAGTACTACCAAATAAAAATAAAGAAGTGGTGTATAGAGAGCAAAAGTGGCTATTGGTATGTGATGAAATAGAAGACTATATCGCACTGTTCGGATAAAATTTGAATGAAATACGAGATTATGTCGTGCGATTGATATCCATAGCACCGTACCATATTTCATAATTTACAAATTGTTGTGGAAGACAGAGAATAGATCGTTAAATATTTATTGCCATTGATAAATCAATGGTGAGATGAGTTCAGTTGAAAATTAGCATGACTATGTCCGCATGATTGTGAAGAAGTAGCCGTACAGCTTTTGTTGCTTTAAGGTGATATAATACAAATAAATAGGAAGGAAAAGCCATTATTTCTCCGCAAATAAAGAGTGACAGCTCGATGTTTATCTATTTAGACGAAACTTCGTCGATGGTCGGCATCGAATTTACAAAGAATGCCAAAATGTAATAAACGGTTCGGGAAAGTGATCTAATGAGCGGTATAATTAAATGACATTTCACTTTTGGAATTATCGCTCATTAAATACTGAACAAGTTATTTAAAACATCAATAGCATTGCATTATTCATTAAAACATACAAGCCTTCTTTCATTACAGAGCTGTCTTGAAATATTGGTCATTGGACAATGTCATTTTTGTCACAGTGGGATACCTCCTCACGTTTCATAGATTCTTGAACATGTCCACAAATATTTTATGTCATCATTAATTGTATATTTAACTCTGATTTCACACGAATATCATTTCGGTCCCAACAGAGATAATTTATGAAACAGATTTGATTATGGCGGGCGGTCCATTGATGTCAAAAGTGAGTTTACAAGCTCCGCTAATGCATAAATGAGCATTTTCAAAAGCTATGACGATATTTTCTTAATTATGAACGATACGAACGATGTATAAAAAGATTATTTTCAGCTCTTTTGAGATCAAAAGGTAAATCAGCCATGGGCATATGCTCTATACAAATAAGAGAGACACTCGTTGTAATACAGAATACATATATCGACTATCTGAAGAAAGTAATGGAAAGAACTGACGTTGACATATATTCGGTGAGATGTATAAATACGCTTGAAATGAAAAACACTTTCTCATGCCCATACGTCTTCTGCTGTATCATTCTTCCTCTCGATATAATCGACATCGAAAAGGTAATATTACACGAAATAATTATAAAAAAGGCTTAGCGATCCAGTGTGATGGCTGTTATCTGTGCTTAAGGCACATGACTCTTTCTATTATGCAGTGGTTTATTTTGCTTATATAAAAGTACATCTCATACTAAAAGAATTTTTCTATGAAATAATCAGTGAATTCGATAAATTAATACTTTAGGCGAATGCTAAACAACTCACATCCGACGAGTATGTCACATATAATCAGATTAGAACAAACTCGAATGAAAATCTTTTCTCAAATCTACGATTATCCGTAATCAAATCAATTCCGTATTATTAAAATTTTGGCGTGTCGTTAGTTTTAACTCTTGATATCATTCAATAGCAGAAGCTAACAATATTTCTATGCAATCGGCGGTAAAACACGTCATCACTTCTGGATCGCTCCTCGATCAGACTTAGTTTCTTTTTCTAGAAAATCAAAATTGAAATATCTCTCCACGACTTAAGCAGCAGCGCATTTATTTCTTTTGTATCGTACGTTAATAGCAAATAGATAACTAAGCTGATTATTTCGATTATTTAAAAACCAACAATGGACTTTGATACGCCACTCGATCGTCCGATATTCGTCGAAATCCTTGTGGCATTGATGGTTCCTACATTTGATTCTTCTAGATAATCTTCCCTCAGTCATTTTATTCATCTATTCTCCTTTGTTATATTTTGGCTTAAATATTGTTTATTCGTGTGAATCACGTTTTGGTTACACATAGTTCGTCTGTGGTGGCCCATAATGTGAATATGAGGTTAGTTTTAATAATTCGAATCAAATTTAGATGTTAAACTCTTCCTATTTATAGTTTCTCCTCGGTTTATACGATTGACTATGTAACGTCTGCGGTCCAGCCATTGTTGATGGTGTTACAACAGCTGTTATCATCATTCACTATCTCTTTCAGAAACATCGAGTAAGTCAACGAAAGATTTGGCGACGCAGTCGTAAAATGGTCATTCAACTGGCATCGGTTTCAGTTTTGTACCTCGTTGTTTGGATTGCGAGTGTTGTCTGCTTTTTCGTTTCATTGATTACTCCAGATATACTTGCTTCGCAAATAACTAGTGATCTGATGAAATATTATCAATACTTCTCATACCTTCTCTGTCCGTTTATGTGTCTGATCGGATCATCTGAAATACGCCCTTCTCTCCCACAAACGTCCATACGAAGAGGCGATGTGAAATGGAACCAACGCGAAATCAAATCTACCACCGTACCGCAACAGAAATGAAGTCGTGACATTCTGAACGTTTTACGCGATATCACAAATAGCGCGTTGCACTTTTATAATCAGAAAACATTGGATGCTCCTTGTCTAGTTCTCTTTTTTGACGTCAACGAAAAGACAATCGGAATCTAATATGACATCTTACGTCAGCTCGTTGCCTCAAGTAGCTGAATTAAACTACTTAATACTAATATCTTTTCTTCGGACTGATTATAATATAAATTGAAAAAGAGTACTGATTACTCAGAATGCTAATTATGTATCTGTCCCTTTTCTGTGTATTAGATAACAGTATCATCTGAGTTATTTCAAAGCTCGTACTAAATACAGCTAAGTTATCGCGCTGTATAACATATAGACGATTTAACAGTGCTCAAATACCACACTTCAGCATTGAAATTAGACGAATCTGATAAACACATGTCGCAGCTGTTCTACCGATTATCTCGTATGTCCCAGAGCCAAATATCCATTTAATAGTATTAATTTTAGATCTTAAGTGCTAATTTACCACGATAAATCGCTGTTGTTTTCCATTACATTTCGAAGGCAGTCCGAAAACGAGCCTGTTTTGGCTGACTTGAGTATGTTCGTTTTTCGTCTATATCAAATTGATATTAGCTGGGCAAATCATGAAATACATTTGATCGGCTCTAACGCTAGAATATAGGCTGATAAGAAGCATTCCAGATGTCAAACAATTAGATGCTCTTATTGCCTCGATCAAAAACTATTTATGCCGATAAGTGGTATGAGGAACGAATACACTTTCTCCGATCGGATTGTATCTCCTAGGCAGTAAATTTATCTTATACTGTGATATAGTGACATCAGTTTGATGTTTCTCTTCGTTGGAAATATTCCATGTCAGCCATAGTTCTTATGAGATATTATCTGAGAGTTTTCTACAAACGTCAGTGACTCATCTTAATCTATTCCAAATAAACACTTCATTCACCTCAAAACATGTCATATACAGTACCTTTTTGTTATATGTTACGCGTTAATTACATGTGTACAACTTTTCTTGCGCAATCAATGACCGACGGCTAACAGGGGGACATCAGAGGAAAATAGAAATAACAAGAAGAGAGCAGTAATATACAAGAGGCATAGCAACGAGTGTTAGAGCAAAGTAGTACGTGAAATAGTACCAGTTACCAATATTCTCATATAATTTATCTGTTCTACGTTTTTTTCAAAAATCTTGTTTCTTGTCTGTAAATATTATACAATTATTTTGACTTGTTTATTATATCATCCTGGATCTCATGTAATGCCTATATATATTTTTTTTTGTTTTGTGTTGAGGCTGTGAATGTCATTGTTTCTCCATTCTTTCCTCTCATATTCTGAAAACAACGGATTTATGTTATTCCAATATTGCGTATTACTCCCAATAGATATATGAATACTCTTGTACTCACCCTCACCCATACCCCACCCTTCACACCCTGAATGTTTCCGTTCCAACCGAGATCACTGCTTCAATATGTTTTCATTATATATGTTTTATATTAGAACAGTTTTATCCACAGAAATAGCGGAAATGATGAAAGAAGAAATTCTTTTGACTTTAGTATTGATGTAAAAATTAACCAATGAGAAAATTTTTCTCGAAAGATAATAAAAGCGAGAATATAATGCTCGTCTGTTAGTGAGATTCTTTTCATCTCTTCAGTCTTTCTTACATGGAGTTCCTTCTACATACTGAATGAGATTTTCCAAATTCTTTTTTCCTGTTCTTTCATCCGTCGACGTTTTAGATTTAATAGGAAAAGCACTCCTCATATTGAATAACACAAGGAAAAAACTTCTTAGTTTTCTATGAAGTTGACGGCTAACATCCTTTTACACTTTTTAAGAATAAATAGTAATGAATTCTTCAATTGAAAATACCTATCCATACTATTCCTATATTCCATCTTGTATCGCTGCAAATAGTTTAGCATTGATTATCTATATTTTATTAATCATTTGGTTTATTCAATCCTTATATGTAAAATGTAATCCTCGCCCGATAATTATTTTTATATATGTATCTCATTTAGTAACGTTTATTGAATTAATTTTTCGTGGTACACTTCATATTGATATTTTAAACACAAAAGTGTTTTATCGTATAACATCATCGTTAATAAGTATATCACCTCGATTAATTCTTCTTGCAAATTATCATTGTTTAATTGAATTACGAGGTAAAACACGAAGAAGAATATTAGATCGAACTACTGACATAATGCTACCCTTTGGAGCAATATCAGCGGCTATTCTTCTTATTATTGGAAATCAATTTGCATTTAATTCAAATCGTTTTCATTTAAGTTTTGCCCTTCGTCAAATATCAGCTGGTTTAGTTCTTGGTCTTTGTTTATTCTTTTATATTGTTTGGCATTTTTCAGTATCACACTCTCGTCGTCTTTATATTTTACTATTATTAACAATCTCAAGTATTTGTGTTTTAATTGAAGCCATTTATGTTCAATTAATGTCAATTCCTTCTTTCTTTATTATTCTGAGTAAAAATGAACTGTGGTATTACTTATTTCATGTAATTCCGGTTTTTGTTGGTCTTACGACCTGGTCGATATTTCACCCATCAAGATTATTACCTCCACCGGAAAATCAGGTTCAACATGATCAATCTGGTAAAGAACTACTCCCACCACTTCCATCATCACTTGTTGATTAAAGTATTCTAGACAATAGATTTCAATGGATTTTCAGAATAATATCAATTTGAAAAGATTAAATTGTGAACATTGTTTTTTTTTGAAAAAAATATCCGAATTGGTGTAACGAAAAAGGCGTCGCGATTGATGACGATGCAGCCAACGTTGTCTCGTTGGTGTCGATGTAGAGAGACGAACCAAGGCGTAATTGGACCTGCAGACCAACCGTGTGGTGTAACTTTATTTAAGTGAGATCGAGATATGCTCCTTGCCTATTTAGCAAAAGTATTTATACTACTCGAACAAAGAATATGTATAGTAAAACAAAAGTATACAGAGATAATGAGAATACAATGAAAGAAGGACAGTGATAAAGAACATAAAAGAATAGAGAATAAAACTATCGAAGGATATCCTAGTACAAAGGAGTATATTTGCTCATAAAGGATGAAACGTACGCAATAGACAGAGAACAGGAAAAGGTATAATGTGAAGATTACGAACGAACAAATAATTACATGAGTTTCGTAGCGAAAGAACAATAGTGCCAATGTTGGCACAGTTGGGTGCCACAATAGTGAATCAATCCGCGTGTTTGTCTAATTTTTAGTCATTAGTAGGGCCTATCTGCCTTTTTATCAGACTTCTTTCTTATCTCCACAAATAATAAGCACAACAGTAGAACCATCTTTCATATTTCATTAATGAAAAATTATCCATGATTCAGATTAAAGTCATTTGATAACACATTTATGGCGTCTATTTTGATAAGAATCTCGAACTATTTTCTTTGTTTATTTTATAATAATAAGTAATCAAGCTTCTATTAAGTCTTGATCTAATCAATTCTCTACCCAGGCAGACAAGTACTAGAAGAAAATCACCTAAAAGCGTCAAGGTTTCCCCGAAAATAAAATCAGGAAAAGCGCACATTTTCAAGAGTTCAAACTCGTTAAAATTCTCTCATAACGTTAAGTCCGTTCATCTCTGCGGCTTAACGAGTAATATCATGTTACATTTCACAGAGCAACGCACTATTACGAAGGAAGTTTGAATGGATTAAAATATCTTTTCAACAAAAGATCAAATCTGTGCCCAAAATATCTTACATAGAACACGTTGAGAAAATACGTCTAGTAAAAATGTATAATGAATAAACTGGCCTTGATATTATTCAATGTTTTCTCCTCTTATTATGTAATAGTAAAGGTAAGGAATATAATCAATATGATGCATCACAACCAGTAGAGTAAGTTTTAGTAGTTGCAGAAAACAGGTTTAAATGATTAATCTCGTTTTTTTTCATAAAAGTTACTGTGACGAATATATACGTCGTTAACATTCAAGTAGTTAAGTTGGGAGTGTCAGTGTTCTCCATTCTCAGAACAAGAAACGCGTAGTACTTTGGCTAAAAATTGTAAATAGATATATAACCGTGGTCGAGTTATACAGGGAGACTGTCAGAAAATGTAATTTAAAATGTGTTTCAATGTTTAGGGAACATTGCGAGGAACGCTGCTATTTCTTAGTCTTTGTACCTTGTGTAAACAAGATAAATATTCAATGACTGCTGGATTTAATGACTGGGCGAACTACATATGTATTTCATGATTTTCATGTTTGAAGAAGATACTTTCACTCTTCCAATCCTATAGGAATGGAGAACGAGAATTGCGTTCTCCCTTCTGGAAACGTCATAGGCTTTTTAGTCTTGTCAATAAGAAAAGTTGTTTTTCATTCTCCTCACTACTGATAAACAACCAGTTGACGATATGATTTTCACTCATATTGCATTGTCATATAATGAACAACATATAGTTGTATAACCAGCTAAATACGATGCATACCTACGCATATAAATATATATACAGTAGATTTTCTTATGAATAATATGGTTAAAGTACACAATGACATGAGAAATATCGCAAAATATTCTTGTTTCTTGAAAAATGTGTATGCTTCAATCCCTCTATTTTAATCCGAGAACCCAAGACGAAACAAACATCAATTAATCAATTAGAGTTTTCCTTCAATTTTATTTTCTAAAACGTCATTTTAACCGGTTTTTAAAACGATTCAAAATGATAAAAGATAAAAATGATATTATATTTGTAATTGTAAGGCGTAATAAGATCCCGCTGTAGCCATACATAATTCAGAAGAAAACAAATATATGATTGACATTTTCTTAAAACCTTTTTTTTTCGGTTTCTGCTCAAAGTAACTCAATGAAATAGAACTATGATTATGATATTACTTACGTCAGTCTTTGTTTCTGAAAGCAAATTCTCTTGAAAAAAAGAAAATTAATTAATAATGGTGATCTATTTGAGTTTCATACATCGACTGTTTTCGAATACAAAACTTTTCGTAGTATTTTAATAAAATGTAATCTTCAATCCAAGAAAATCTTTCGGAAGCCGCTGTTTACCGTACTGGAATGTCACTAAAATGATCAGTGGCATTGTTCGGATATCAGTTACAACCTGGATTCCTCTCATTTCTACGTGAGACCTGGTGAACTCTGTAATCATATCTAGATCAGATTTTTCACATGGACATTGAGCGGATGAAGAAATACAAATAATTTTTTTCTCTTTTTCTCGCCCTGCCAATCTCAACTGAATTTTCATGTCACTTGTGACATACACCGTTACACTCGGTCTACTGAGGATCGAAGGTTGAAAACAAGAAATTACTATGAAAAGAAATAATTCACTTGGAAACAACAAAACTTATTGAAGAGCACGAGTTATTTTCTGGTCATTTTTAAAGTATAATTTGACAAATAACATCTTTTTGAAGATACGCCGCTTAACAGATATTTAAACGAAATTGACAACGATGCGGATCACACCCTCGACACGGATGTAAGTGAGTAATGTTCTATTAGATTATCTTTACACCCTCACCAACAAAATTGATTTTTATGGAATTATTATGCTCCAAATATCTCTTCATTCTTTTGAATATTTCCTCTAGATAATCGAATATTAAAATAAAATATAAATTTTATAATTTGTCCATATTGTATCATCCTATATTTAATAACCTATAGTTGCATTTGCTACTCAGAAAACTCCATATCTGTACGTATAATTTCATTTAATTCTTTGTTGCTTCTAGCTGCTTATGTATTCTTGAGAAGGGTCAAAGACGGAGCATTTGACTGATTCTGCGCATGGTACAAGAATAACGAAAGGAGTAAGTGATCGAGAGAAATTCGAAATAAGAACTAGGGGTGCATCAATCCTATAAAGTTGTTATCAAAGATGAATTATTTCTTATATCTAAAACCCCCAATCCTTACCTCCTTCCATAGCTTTTCAAACACAGTTTCGTTTAGGCTAATCAACGCCATCATCGACCTTCAAAAGACTAACTCGTAAGAAAAAGGGACTGGTGCTTCTAGATATAGAAAATAATTCATCTTGGATGACAATTGTACAGGACTTGTATATCCCTAATAGGAACACGAGTCCTCAATGAATAGTTTCTTAATATCTTGTAAGACAAATGATTAAAATGCAGGCTATCATCTCCATATCTTAATTAAAGAACCTAAGGACGAAGCAGATATGTAATTATTACCACATTTTATTGTGTTGTCTGAATACTATTGAACGAATATCTGTAAGTTTACCTAAGAAGTGGTTTGAATGATTCGGAGATATTCTGATGTGCTCTCGAAATTTAACAGACAATCAGATTCATGGGTTGTAAAACAGATCTCTACAGACATTTGTTTTTTTTATCGCGACGTTTGGAGACCTTGGTCAAACAGTTTGAAGAATTTGCTCTCATCTAATTTCTTAATGACAATGAAAGAGTGAACGCTATTTTTATCTGTTTAAAAAACTTTTTTAAAATGATAAAGGAAAGAAATGACATTATATTTGTAATCATGTAGTGTGATAAATGGCCCGTATAATCATATATAACTGATTATGAAATATAAGATTAATATAGATGAATTTTTAATTTTTTTTGGCACTAAAAGACGAGAAATATTTTTTCAGATAATCTAGAAAAAAGTATCTCAAAATCATCTTTTACATTTATTTTGAAATATGTCATCTTCTAACACAAGCTCGGTTGATATTGTTAATGAAATAAGGCGGCAGTTAGTCGTATTCGTTCGATGTTGGTCTGCGATTCTTTTTACTCTTGGTTTAGTGGGTCATATATTGAATATCTATGTATTTACACGTCCTATACTCTATTCTAATTCATGCGGTCGATATTTTTTTCGCATCGACAATAACTGGCCTTTTGGTTGTAATTGAATATCTTTTAATTCGTGCTCTTCAACTGGGTTATAGTATTGATCTAATGAGTACATCAATAGTGGTGTGCAAAATTTTGGCGTTTAGTTTTATTCCTATAAGGTAACACGATTCAATATGATATACATATCATACTATCTTCAATTTTTCTATTTTAGAACTTTGCCTTCGTGGTTTATTGCCTTAGCATGTCTTGACAGGTAGGTGTTTTTCAGAAATATACAGTCTTGTAGTTGAAAAAAGGTAAAATATACAATATGAAATTATTCTTTAGATATTTATGCAGTTCAACTTCTACAAATTTACGTCAATGGTGCAATACCCGCAATGCTACTCGTATCATATGGATCGTGGTATTATTTATGGGTGTTATAAACAGTCATATGTTTGGTTTTTACACAATTATACAGGCAGAGCAAATCTGTGACGCTACTCCAACTTCTTACGTGCTATTTTACGGTATTTGGAATCTAATAATATGGACAGTTATTCCAATTCCTTGTATGATTATTTTTACTTTACTTACAGTTCGAAATATTCATCGAGCAAAAAATAGAATAGGGACTGACGATACGCAAAATGATCGACAACATATTCAATGGAAGAAAGAACGACAGCTCATTCGCATGACAATTGGTCAAGCATTTTTACTTGGTTTACCATCAGCGGTTAACTCAATAACACATCTCTATATTGCTCCAGCTGGTATTATAATGGCGAACAATGATATCGAAGAAGCGACCATTACCAATGCTTATCATATCATCGGTTTTGTTTCTCTTTTTGGTCCAAGTATGAGTTTTTATCTATTTACATTATCAAGTAAATTATTTCGCAAACAATTAATCTTATTATTTCGATGTGGTCTACCAGAGCAAACTCAGTCTCAATTAAATAGATCTATACAAAACCAATAAAAACTTCACCGTGCATGTTGTATTGAGTAAAAAAGTCTTAATGTCACAAATAATCATTTTTGTTTATATAGTTATAAGTGTTGTATCGTTTCTTATTCAATAATAATCGCACTGAGGGCGAGGGTGTGGATGAAAGGGGGCTCTCTTACGTCTTTCGTCCATTCGCAATCATTTATCTAGAGCGAATAGTTTTTTCTCGAAAAGAAAATTAAACAAACATAATATACATAAAGACGTAGAGATGTCAATAAAGTATCTTTACAATTCAAGTTTATTGTTTGCTTTGTCGAATAAAAGCAACTATATGAATTTTTCGCGAGAGAACTATAACATTCATAGAATCCCTTTATTGAGATTGTGGACATCGATTACTTTACGCATTTCCTTCCAATATACAAGTGTCGAAGAGAGACAGAAATATTTTACTACCGACTCTCTATTCCCTTCTCTGAAAGAAAGCGTTATAGCGTTTTAGAAATCAATGAACTCTTAACGACTGTGATTGCACATGACTGTGCGAAGGATTTTCGGGATCAAGGCAGTGGGCTGAACACTATCCCTGAATAGGATGCATGAGAAGATGGTAGTTTAGGGGCTTACACAAAAAACATTTTGTGTATCTGACGTTACAATAGTTGTAGTTCAAGAAATCACAACAAGTGGTATGAACTCACTATCATTATTGTTTTATATGCTGCGACAAGTCAGTTCTTTCCATAGGATTGTACCGGAGAAATATGTATCCAAAAGGTATGTTCCTTAGCGCAATTTCATCTTGTTCGCTACAAAGACATCGCCTATATAAATGGTATTTTAAACATATATAGCACTATGAGGAGTGCTGTTTTCACGTCAAATCATAAAATAAAACACTTTCTATTTAGTTTCTTGTGGTAATAAACAACTTATAGACGTTTCTTTTGAAAGCTACTTGAAAGATGAGATTTATAAGTCTCATCTAGTGTCCGTGATACTTCGAAGGAACATAGTTGATTTCTCTTCGAGTTTCGCGAATAAAATATGTGGCTTGTTAGTTCTTTCAATTGAAGAGAACAATAGAATATGCACTATAGATCACACAGTTACGCAGAATTTTAGTAATTTGGGTTAAAGACCGATCCAGTATGAACGAGGTACTTTTTTATATGAAAACATCATAGGCATTTATTGTGTATACTGTACCACATTACTTGTTATTTAAATCTATACAAATAGTTATTAATATAGTTGAATTTTCATTTGTTCATAAACTTTATCCTGAATTCGATGGCTGAATTCTTGAGTTACTTCAAGACTGCAACGTTTTCAAATGAAATAATAACTGTCAGGCTTTTATGGACAGCAAAAAATCAATCCACAGACAAACCGCAATTATCTCAGAAATGAGGAGTCATAAGTGTCTATTCTGAATGGCAGTTGGCAATATTTCATTAAGGCTGGGCAATAGCTTGAAGGTCATCTACAATCTGTATGCATGATGGTTTGCTTCATTTCCCTATACTCTACCAAATATACGTAATATGGAAACTTTTCACTGATTTTCCAAGGTCGCACTCCTTCCTGGACAATGATCGGTAAGTGCAATCATAAATTCAAAGGTAACTCATGTTGTTGCAATTCTTTGATTACATAGCGAACAAGAGTGAATCGATTTTGGCAATAATACAAAGAACTAAACTAAAAGAAATGATGTTTCTAATCTTATGGTACGAACACGATAGAAATGAAAATCACGATTGTGTCGTATCAAATAATGAAGTAATACGAAGATCAAAATCAGTTTTGTCCAAATTGATCATTGGTGCCCATGAATGAAAAGTAATGAATTTCATCGATTGAAACATATGGAATCCATTTTCAGAAAAATATCCACTGATATTCAAAGGAACATCAAGCCAAACGAATAAAGCAGGATTTGTTGCTGTTAGTGTGATGTTCACATCCGTTGAGGTGATTTTGTCAAGTTTTTCGATTCGAAGATTTGGTTGAGACAGTTCATAATTCTTTGGTTGGGTCAAAAATAAAGTTTGCTCAATGAATTTTTTGTCATTGTCTAAATGACAATGAAGAACACATTGGCTATTATTCAAACAACCAGCAGTTCTCATAATTGTTGAATACGGCAAGTCAATGACGTGTTGAACAGTTGGAAAATCAATCGAAACATTGAATTTAAATGATAATCGAACAGAGAATTGATCAACTGGTACCAATGAACACAATAATTGACCTTTTACACCAGTGAACAGCTCGTTAACAACATAAAATGAAAGTTGTGCTTTTTCATCAGTAATATTCGCTAAATAAGGTTGAAGAACAATTAATGGGTAAACAAATTCATACATATTTTGAACATAATAATGAGCCATTTTCCATTTTAATTCGTATTCGACTGTAGACGATGTTGGCGCTTGCCAAAAATCACCTATTTGCCAATACATCAAGCCCATCGTATGCCTATTAGAAAAGTAATTTGTTAACTTTGCTAAATATTGGAAGATCTGTTTACCCCTGACTCGTTTTTGGGTCGATCATCTCGATTGATGAATGTAATCGGCACACATCACTGATGCTTTTCAACGTCATCGCTTGATTTATCTGACTCAAGTATATCATTTGCGAGAAATTTTTCAACGAATCAGTTGTTACTGGAATTGGTAAATTACTTTTGATTTGTCTCCTGCAACAAGCGGAATGAAATATCTGAAATCTTTATGTTTTTTAACATACAATATATTATCCACTTTAGTATCGTGTTTTCGATGTTCGAAAAACGAACTTCCAAACTGTAAATCACTTAGATTTGATGTTACTTGAAGCCAAGAATCCAGACTTGGTAAAGAATTCATTCCTGTTTCAGACAAAAATCGAGTAATGGGATATGTATTGGGATTCCATGTGTCATTAGTAAAACCATAGAAATGAACATCACCTAANTGTTTTTTAACATACAATATATTATCCACTTTAGTATCGTGTTTTCGATGTTCGAAAAACGAACTTCCAAACTGTAAATCACTTAGATTTGATGTTACTTGAAGCCAAGAATCCAGACTTGGTAAAGAATTCATTCCTGTTTCAGACAAAAATCGAGTAATGGGATATGTATTGGGATTCCATGTGTCATTAGTAAAACCATAGAAATGAACATCACCTAAAACAAAGAAAATTCAACGTTTATTGAGTTCGGGTATACAAGAAAGATGTATAGGTGAATCCTTATTCTTATTCGAATTTGCATTTACCATAAAGTGGGTCTTGAGGATTTGTGGCAATATAATCTTCTTCAATGGATTCAGGTCCATTTGTTGGTGATGACGTGATGAAGGGCCGATTATTTCCTCTATCTATTTGTTTAATGGCCTTCATGATTGTATCAACATATAATTTCCGATAATCATTTTTGATTTTGGGAATTCTTTCTGTGGGAATTCGATACCAATTTTGTGCAACAGCGAGTTCATTCTCATTGTTTCCTGACCAAAGTGCAATGGATGGATGTGATTGAAGTCGTCTAACTTGATAAACAACTTCATTATAAACATTTGTCAGAAATAAATCATCAACTGGATATCTATGAAAGCAAAAGACGAGTAAAAAGTTGTTTTTCAATCAATGTTTTCTCTTACAGACTGCAAGCAAACATAAAGTCATGCCACAAGAGAATTCCTAATCGATCGGCAATGTCATAGAAAGAGTCTCGTTCATAAATTCCTCCGCCCCAAACTCTCAACATATTCATATTCGCTAATTGAGCCGAGCGAAGTAATCTTTCCAATCTTTGATCTGTGACACGTTCTTGAAATGCATCGGGTGGAATCCAATTACTACCTTTGATATAAATTGGATGATTATTAATAAGGAAATAGAACGATGTTCCATTTATATGTGAACCATAACTATCTTGAATAAGTTGAATTGTTCGAAAACCAATTGAACGAGATCCAACGAGTTGATCTTGATTATAAACTGAGAATTGATACAGTGTCTGATTTCCATACCCATTTGGCCACCAAAGTTGGATCATTTCGTTGGGAATTGCTAGTGAAATCGATAGATTTGATTTAAATGTGACATTTGTTTGAAACACAAACGAAGTTTTTTCTAAAACAAATTTCAATTGACTTGCAAATGGTGGATTTTGAGAACTTAATGAAATATCCACTTGCCATTGTTTATACGATGATTGATATGATGCAATATTAACACTTTCCAGGTTGATTAATATTGTTTCACTAGTGGTTCCTTCAAGATAAAGATGACCAGGTATACCAATTGGAACAAAAGCCGGAGCCCAATCCCAACTGAATGAACACGGTTCTTTTCGAATGAATTGAACATGACATTCACCGTGTTGAATATCAGGTGGACAGAATGGAGGAACACTATCATTGTAAGATTGAGATTGATCTAATGCGTAGATAACTGGGGANTCCAGGTTGATTAATATTGTTTCACTAGTGGTTCCTTCAAGATAAAGATGACCAGGTATACCAATTGGAACAAAAGCCGGAGCCCAATCCCAACTGAATGAACACGGTTCTTTTCGAATGAATTGAACATGACATTCACCGTGTTGAATATCAGGTGGACAGAATGGAGGAACACTATCATTGTAAGATTGAGATTGATCTAATGCGTAGATAACTGGGGACTCAAAATCTAGTCGAAGTTCATTTGTTGATTTTAAACAGTTTCTCGTAATATCAAATGAATATCCTACAAACATATTGTTTGTTTGTCCAAGAAAACATTGATTTAACGTGATATTTGCAATTGTATCAATTTGATCAAAATGAATTGTGAATTTTGTCAATGATAGTATGTCATTTGTCAACGAGAAATTCTTTCTAAATGTCCATAAGTCGTAAACTAAATAACGAAGATTAACATCATTATAACCCCGATAAGGTTCGCTGATTTGATTTGCAGCGAAAAGAATTGTATGAATTGTACCGGGTACTTCACCTCGGATATTATATGATCCATTGTGATTATTTATTATCCAATCGTTACCTATTAATGGAACAATAATACAACTGGAAATGTTCAATAAAGAAAGAAGAAAAAAGAATTGTTTGAGCATCACAACGATCTCTACGAGGTACACCTACTTTTGTTTGATGATGTGCGTTTTTATTTCTGTTTATCTTCTGACGATAAGAATGAATATTTCTTATCAGTAAACTTTCAAAAAAGTACACTGTTATCGTGTTTCTTCTTATTTTGAATGGATGTAGGTTCAAATATGTAAATCACTTGAAAACATCTTAAAATTAAAAAATATTTCTGCACTGGATGAAATAGAAACTTCTCACACGAACTGTTGTCAATGGTACACCGATGAACTCGATAATCCGACTGCTTGGCAAAGTACACGTTTCCATTTGTGTCCGAGCAAATTTCATATAGATTGTTCAATAGCCATGGCTTCGTACCATTGGTGCCAGAGACACTGCATAATTCTGTGATTTGCAGTATCGCTGACATAAACTGTACAAAACGAGTCAACACGAACATTTCAAGGGGAATATACAATCGATTGGACGGTGAGTCAGTACCATTACTGCCCGTCACTAGTGTGACATTTGTATCGTTGAAAAACCATTTCATCACACGATGATTGTAGCAATCAGCAATGTACAATCATGAATACCGCTGGGCAGATATAATTGATTTAAGACATAGTCTACAGAACCAGTTCCCGCGACAGTCGTAGCTGATGTTGAAGAATTCGAATTGGGAAGCAACTTCAGCACGCGATGATTGTAATAGTCTGAAACGTAGATATAACCAAATCCTATTCGTAACAAAAGAAATCAATCGAAGTTAACGATATAGAGTAGAAAAACGATGATTACTGACGATCAACATATATTCCATCGCATCAATTGAAAGTATTTAGTGAAGAACCATATCATGCGCCTCCAGCCACGATAGATACATTGTTTTATGCAACATTCCATTTCAGAATCCGACAGTTCAACAAATCTGATATATACAAATTCGTTTCATCTGGATGGAAATATCAAGCTGTTGGACAGTGCCTGTGTTGTGTATCTGAATATGTCCCATAGCTAAATTGTGGACCAACAACTGTTGTCGCATTTGGTTTCCAAACAGCAGATGGACATATTGGCGGTCGAACGGTTGTCCTTGCCAAAATAAACAATGCAAACAAATAGACGAAGTGAAATTGTTTGTAAAAATACTGGCCTATCTGTACGGTTAGATTCGACTGATTGAGATAAAGAAGAGTAGCATGAAGAGTCAACTGAACATATATTGAAGTTATACGTGAAGAGAACAATTGACAAATTTGATTATTTTGGTAATAATTCAATGCGGATATCGAAGAATTTGAGTTAATCATTTTACAAATGCATTTCGTTTCTTGTTTTATTCGAGAGGATATCATCAGCCTTTCCGATCATTATAAAGTCGTCAATTTCAGTAAGTAGAATACAGTTCATCGAAGAAAAAATCGAGAAGAAAATGTATATTCGCAGCATTTTGGATGTTTGCTAAAATGCTCAAAGCACTTTTTACACATTTCATTTTTTTAAATATTCCTTTCGAGTTAGAAACACAACTACAAAAGCATTCTGATAAAAAAATTCATGGCTACATCATCCAGTCAGTTTGTGAATTTCAGAAGATTAGATAAAAAGTAACAATGTGTTTTCTTCCACCCTGCTCGGATGTTTGAAAAAGAACAATAACATTCGGTAACTGACATCTCAGAGTATAGAAAGAACAAGTTTGTTTCCGTAGAAAATAAAGTAACTTACATCAGAATATTGCAACATAGACCAGCAAAGAATAACAGGCAATCGACTTTGCCAATTCTCCGAATTTACTTATTTAAACAAATCGATCTGTTCAGTCGAAAATTGATTTTGCAGAATTGATGAAAACTACTTCGATCTGTCGCCGAGATTATTTCACACTCAACTTCGAAAACATCAACATGATCTGAAAATTTACTCATTTAACAGAGTAGACGTTTGGATAAGAGCATTCGCGCACATCCGAAGCATTCAAATGCACGCGTTGCCTTTTAGAGACTTAAAAATATATTCATATAATATCCTTGCATACATTTTTTAGTATTTCCATCATCTTCATAATATTACATTTACCGCAGGGCAATTCAAAGGTAGTGAGTGAGTACTGTAATGTTCTAGAGGATTTGATCACTGTTTGACTGGTATCGTAATGATAAAGTTTTCACAGAAATTTTCGTTGCCACAACATCTGATGTTAGTCGCGTAGTGTATACGATCGTCCGCGCGTGTTTTTTCTCATCATCGATAAGCTTTTACCGAGAAAGAAAATACATTCTCAAATCCAGTACGATAAACTGAAGGATTTACATAAGCTCATCATCTCTTCACGCTTTCTGAGAAAACTCACTAACTTATGTGCACATGCATAGATAATAATGTGTATCGAAAGTTGCGCAACAATATTCTTGTCGAAACTTTCTGATTATGATCCAGTTAAGCAACCTTCAGATTAACATACAAAACTGCAGTGAAAGATATTCCAGCAGATTAGTACAAATAGAGGCCTTTCGCTTACGCACACTCAAACAGTTGATACCAACTTCATATCACCTATCATTTTAAGTCAGTTCACACGGTCTGCAGATCTCGCCCAACTAGCAGTGATGCGTTTTCGCTCCTGTTTTCATTTGATTGCAAGAGATTCAGAGAAAAATACGCATCAGTGCGAAAGCATGAAAAACACTGTCTCTAGTCAATAAATCTTTAAAAAGTTCTAACAAGAACTATTGTCAATAGTGAAACGTTGAATGCGATCGTTTGTATAGTCAGCAACGTACAAGTTTCCACTTTTGTCCAAACGAATTCCATACGGATTGTTCAGCCTAGACGGTGTAGTACCAGTCACGCCAGTCACACCCACTATCAACGTTCCATTTCTTGCATTTTTCACCCATTTCATGATTCTGTGATTTGCAGTGTCACTAACATAAACTGTACCGAACGAATCAACATAGACATCTCGTGGATCGTACAATTGCTTGAACGAGCTACCAGGACCATTACCACCGGCAACCACTGTTCTATTCGTATCATTAGCACGATATTTCATCACTCGATTATTCAAGCGATCAACAACGTACAATGTATCGTTGTCACTTTCATCAACATAAATACCACCGGGTGTGCTTAGTTGATTCAACGCACTACCTGCAGTGCCAGTCCCAGCGACTATGACACTCAGTGTGGAAGAAGTCGAGTTAGGAGGAAACTTGAGTACTCGATTATTGTTACAGTCCGAAACATAGATATTGCTGAACCCTATTCACAACAAAAAAAGATGGTGGATTAGACAATAGAAAACAAGAAAAGAATGAATACTAACGATCAACATATATCCCATCACTCCAATAAAAAGTGTTCAATGAAGATCCACACCCTGAACCCCCGACAGCCACTGTGACACTGTTCGATACCATATTCCACTTGAGAACGCGACAGTTGTGCGTGTCGGCTATGTACAGATTTGACTCCGTCGAATCTAAATAAAGTGCTGTGGCACTGTGCAGGTGTTGTGTATCTGGACCGACGCCGTAGCCTAATTGTGGGCCGACAACTGTACTATTAGCACTGCCATTAATCCATTTCATGATACGATAGTTAGAATAATCGGCCACATACAGGCTCAGTGCTGAATCGACTGCGATATCGAATGGATTGTTGAGTTGTGATGAAGATGATCCACTATTACCACTGGCTGATCCGGCAATAGTGGTGCCATTTGGATTCCAAACAGCGGATGGACACACTGTTGGTCGTACGACTGATCTTGCTTAAATGAAGAATTTCAGAATAGAATTGTTAGAGAAAGGCATTATCTTCATAGTTACCTAACTGAATAGCTAGATTTGTTTGATTAACGAATAAAATAACGGTATTCAGTTGATATTGGACATAGATGAAAGTGAGGTTGGAATAAAACAGTTGACAAGTTTGATTATTTGAGTAATAATTGAATGCTGATGTTGAATGNTGAATGAACACGGTTCTTTTCGAATGAATTGAACATGACATTCACCGTGTTGAATATCAGGTGGACAGAATGGAGGAACACTATCATTGTAAGATTGAGATTGATCTAATGCGTAGATAACCGGAGACTCAAAATCAAGTCGAAGTTCATTTGTTGATTTTAAACAGTTTCTCGTGATATCAAATGAATACGCTACAAACATATTGTTCGTTTGCCCAAGAAAACATTGATTTAACGTGATATTTGCAATTGTATCAATTTGATCGAAATGTATTGTGAATTTTGTCAATGTTAGTATGTCATTTGTCAAGGAGAAATTCTTTCTAAATGTCCATAGGTCATAAACTAAATAACGAAGCTTAACATCATTATAACCCCAATAAGGTTCGCTAATTTGATTTGCAGCCAAAAGAATCGTATGAATTGTGCCGGGTACTTCACCTCGGATATTGTATGATCCATTGTGATTATTTATTATCCAATCATTACCTCTTAATGGAACAATAATACAACTGGAAATGTCCAATAAAGAAAAAAGAAAAAAGAATTGTTTCAGCATCACAACGATCTCTACGAGGTACATCTACTTTTGTTTGATGATGTGCATTTTTATTTCTATTTATCTTCTGACGATAAGAATGAATATTCGTTATCCGCAAATTTTGAAAAAAGTACACTCTTATCGCGTTTCTTCTTATTTAGAATGGATGTAGATTCAAATATGTAAATCACCTGAAAACATCTTAAAATTAAAAGGTATCTTTGCACTGGATGAAATAGAAACTTCTCATACGAACTGTTGTCAATGGTACATCGATGAACTTGATAATTCGACTGTTCGGCAAAGTACACGTTTCCATTTGTGTCCCAGCAAATTTCATATAGATTGCTCAATAGCCATAGTTTCGCACCGTTGGTACCAGAGATAATCATTATCAAGGTTTTATTTTTGGAACTTTTTAACGGCTGCATAATTCTGTGATTTGCTGCATCGTTGACATATAAAATGTACAAAACGAGTCAACATAAACATTTCAAGGAGAGTATACAATATTTGTATCGTTCATAACGCGATGGTTTCCGGAATCTGCTACATGTGCATTCATTGCTGAATCGAGTCTAATATCATGTAAGGGACTGATAAGTGAAGAAGTATATCCACGAGCGCCACTATAGCTATGATACAGCAATGTTTGTTGTATTTGAATTTCAAACAGCAGATGAATATACTTTTGGTTGTACGACTGTTTCTATGGAAAAAGACAATAGAACCAAATTTTACAGTCGGAATTCTTAGGGATAATAAGATTTAAATAGTCAGGTTTGCCTGATTAAAAACTAAGAGAGAAGCAATGCGATTAAACTGGATACAAAGCGAAGTGACGTTCGAATAAAACAATGGGCAATTTTGATTACTCGATTATTAATTCAAAAATTGATATGAATGATTCAATCACACCATCTCACAAATAGGTTCAGCTTTCGTCTAGTTCCAAACGGCCTCGTCAGCATTTTCAGTAATGATATTATTGATTTTGTCCAACAAGATGGAATCTATCGACGAAAGCATTTTTGATATTTTAATACTTGAAATCATTTCTTATTTTGCATATGAAATTCAATATAGAAGCAGAACTACAGACGCTGTGTGATAGAAAATGCATGAATGCTCCAAGAAGCCATCTCGTGAATAGGATAATATGGGATGAAAAACAAATGAATATACCTTTTTCAAGAATTCGAATAGTTTTCTTGCTTGTAGAGAATAAAAACTTTTCAATTAATAGAAAAATGAGGCATATTCAAAGAAAGCTTTCTCCCCGAGTAAAATAAATATATTAGAATTGTGAGAAAAATAGTCGTTGTGAACACATTTGAAATGAAAGGTTCAAGGTGGCCTGAATACAGGGCAGAAGAAGTAGAACTATTTGCTTATGTTTGCTTGTCTTACGATCCTCTACACATCGATTCGTTTCTGCCAGTTATTCAAGAAACTTGGATATTATTCCAAACATTTTCTGTAAAAATTCAGAAGAGACTTTTAACAAGACGCATTATAGATACTGAATCGTTAACCTCAACTATTCCACTGATCAACAACGTAGAAGTATCGATCTGCGCCGAATCGAATTCCGCACGGATAGTACAACTGCCGTGGAGTCGTGCCAGCGTCGCCAATGACATTTGCTACCAATGCATCGTTGTCATATTCATCGACATCAATACCGTTGGGCACATGTAATTGATTTATTAGGCATAGTCTGCAGAGCCACAGTTCCCACGACCATCGTGGCTGACGTTGAAAAGAGTTTGAATTCGGAGGGAACTTCAGCACGCGACGAAATATAATAGTCTGAAACGTAGATATAACCAAATCCTATTCGTAACAACAAATTCGTTTCATCTGAATCGAAATATAAGTGGACCAACAGCTATTGTCGCATTTGGTTTTCAAACAGCAGATGGACACATCGCTGGTCGAACGGCTTTTCTTGCCAAAATAAACAATGCAAACAAGTAGATGAAGTGAAATCGTTTGTAAGAATACTGGCCTATTTGTACGGTTAGATTTGACTGATTGAGATAAAGAAGAGTAGCATGATGATTCGACTGAACATATATTGAAGTTATACCGGAAGAGAACAATTGGCAAGTTTGATTATTTTAGTAATAATTCAACGCGGATATCGAAGAGTTTGACTTGATCATTTTACGAATGCGTTCATTTCTTGTTTATTCGAGAGGATACTATCAGCATTTCCGATAATTATAAAGTCGTCAATTCCAGTAAGTAAAATACAGTTCATCGAAGAAAAAAGTCGAGAAGAGGATGTATATTCGCAGCGTCTTGGATGTTTGCTAAAATGCTAAAAGCACTTTTTACACATTTCATTTTTTTAGTATTCCTTTTGAGTTAGAAACACAACTGCAAAAGCATTCTGATCAACATTGATTAGACTTCGATTGAAAAACAAAAATAACATTCGGTAACTGATATCTCAGAGTATAGAAAGAAAAAGTTTGTTTTCGTGGAAAATGAAGTAACTTACATCAGAATATTGCAACATAGACGAGCAAAGAATAATAGGCAATCTGCTTTGCCAGTTCTCCGAATTTACTTATTTAAACAAGTCGATCTATTCGGTCGAAAATTGATTTTTCAGAAGTGATGAAAACTACTTCGATCTGTAGCTGAGATTATTTCACACTGAACTTCGAAAACATCAACATGACCTGAAAATCTACTCATTTCACAGAATGCACATGTTCCCTTTTAGAAACTATTAATAAATATTCATATAATATCCTTGCATACATTTGTTAGCATTTCCATCATCTTCACAGTACTACATTTACTGTAGAGCAATCCAAAGGTAGTGAGCGAGGACTGTAATGTTCTAGAGGATTTGATCACTGTTTGGTTGGTATCGTAATGATAAAGGTTTCACAGAAATTTTCGTTGGCATAACGCATGCTATGCTAGTCGTGTAGTGTATACGATCGCCCGTGCGCGTTTTTTTCTTATCATCGACAAGCTTCTACTGAAAATCAAAATACATTCTGAAATGCAGTGCGACAAACTCAACGATTTACATGAGCTCGTCATCTCTTCACGCTTTCTGAGAAAACTCACTAACTTATGTGCACGTTCATAGATAATAATGTGTATCGAAAGTTGCGCAACAATAATCTTGTCGAAATTTTCTGATTATGATTCAGTTAAGTAACCTTCAGAATAACATACAAAACTGCAGTGAAAGATATTCTAGCAGATTAATACAAATAGAAGCCTTTCGCTTACGCACATTCAAACAGTTGATACCAAGTTCACATCACCTATCGTTTAAAATCAGTTCACGCCGTCTGCAGGTTTCGTCCAACTAGCAGTAGTGCGTTTGAGCGCCTTTTTTCATTTGACTGGAAGAGACAAAGAGAAAATTCGACATCAGTGCAAAAATACGAAAAACTCTGTCTCTAGTCGATAAATCTGTAGAAAGTTCTAACAAGAACTATTGTCAATCGTAAATCGTTGAACACGATCGTTTGTGTAGTCAGCAACGTATAAGTTTCCACTTTTGTCCAGACGAATTCCATACGGATTGTTCAGTCTTGACGGCGTAGTACCAGTCAAACCAGTCACACCCACTACCAACGTTCCATTTCTTGCATCTTTCACCCATTTCATGATTCTGTGATTTGCGGTGTCACTAACATAAACTGTACCGAACGAGTCAACAAAGACATATCTTGGATAGTACAACTGGTTGAACGAGGTACCAAGACCATTACCACCGGCAACCACTGTTCCATTCGTTTCATTGGTACGATATTTCATCACTCGATTATTCAACCGATCAGCAACGTACAATGTATCATTATCACGTTCATCAACATAAATACCAGCGGGTGTGTTTAGTTGATTCGACGCACTACCTGAAGTGCCAGTCCCAGCGACTATGACACCTAGTGTAGAAGAATTCGAGTTAGGAGGAAACTTGAGTATTCGATTATTGTTATAGTCTGAAACATAGATATTGCCGAAACCTATTCACAAAAAAAAGGTGTCAAATTAGACAATAGAAAACAAGAAAATAATGAATACTAACGATCAACATATATTCCCTCACTCCAATAAAAAGTGTTCAATGAAGATCCACATCCTGAGCCTCCAACAACCACTGTGACATTGTTCGATACTATATTCCACTTGAGAATACGACAGTTGTGCGTGTCGGCTATGTACAGATTTGACTCTGTCGAATCTAAATAAAGTGCTGTGGCAGTGTGCAAGTGTTGTGTATCTGGACCGATGCCGAAGCCTAGTTGTGGGCCCACAACTGTACCATTAACACTACCATTGATGCATTTCATGACACGATAGTTAGAATAATCAGCTACATACACGCTCAGAGCTGAATCGACTGCGATATCGAATGGATTGTTGAGTTGTGATGAAGACGATCCACCATCACCATTGGCTGATCCGGCAACAGTGGTACCATTTGGATTCCAAACAGCGGATGGACACACTACTGGTCGCGCGATTGATCTTACTAAAATGAAGAATTTCACAATAGAATTGTTACGAGAAAGGCATCGTCTTCAGAGTTACCTAACTGAATAGCTAGATTCGATTGATTAACGAATAAAATAAGGGTATTGAGTTGATACTGAACATAGATGAAAGTGATGTTCGAATAGAACAATTGACAAGTTTGATTATTTGAGTAATAATTGAATGCTGATGTTGAATAATTCGATTGTATCATCTCACAGATACATTGATTCCTAGTTATGTTCAATATGGTCTCATCAGCAGCTCCAATAATAACGAAATTATCAATTTTGCCAAGTAAAATACAATTGGCGAAAGAAATAACGGAGAAGAGAATATATGCTTGAAACATGGTTGATATTGGAGTTAGTTTATAAAGAAATAACTTTTTCTCGTTCCATTTTCTGAATAATTATATAGAATAAAAGTCAGTACAAATTCTATGAGTGATGAAACGTGTATCAAGACCGGTAATAGCGAATGATGAAAGGAGAAAATGAGAGTTTTCTCTACAAAACCTGATAATTTTATTAATTAGAGTTGTCATAGAAGATTTTGATGCGAGGTGTGAAAATAGTGAATAGAATGGTTTTCTTTGTTTCCAGAGAAAGGTATTTTTTAGGAAAATTTCACCGGAGGTAATATACAATCTTGAAGGTCATGTTACTCCGAAGAATCGCAAATTTTGTACTTAAAAAAGCAATTTACAACGCAACATCTCTAACAATATATACACTTGTGTAGCATATTCGCAGTGCACCTTAATGAAAATCAGAGTTCGTAGAACTTTTTCACACCTTCTTATTGGTATTGCAGTGGCAAGATCTCAACGCGTTTGATACAAACGTCATTCTCTTTGTGACGCATGTTGGATGGTGAGAATTTCTATTATGTTGCTATCGAAGAAATTTTCCTTTTTGTATGACGTGCATCATCTAATAACTTCTCTATCAATCGTGTTCGTTTACGTTGAAAATTCGTTAAATGAACAGCGTGTACGTTGGTGAATTTGAAAGATGAAATAATTTTTTTTATTTTACTGAAAACCGCGATCAGATGATTCTAACAGTGCAATATAACAATGAACTCGCCAAGTGGAAGAAAACACGTGGATACACTACAAAGAAATCATCACAAGAAAGAAATACATAGAACATGAAGAAAAATCACGAGAAAATTGAGAAGGAAAAGAAAACAACAGTTTTAGCAAAAAGTATCAGAAAAATACTGTAACCATAGGACATCATCAAGATCATAATGAGGAATAGAAGAATTTAAAGAAGAAATAATTGATGACAGCTATCTAATATTTGAAATAATTCGGATTTAAAAATGAGAATAAACGTGCTTCTAACATAATCAACGAACAGTGGATAATTGTGAGTTACCAACATAAATGGTTCATTAATAAAGTTCAACAAGAAAATTTCCTTTTGTTCATAACGTTCTAAATTGATTAGTTGCGTCAGTATAAAGTTTTGCAGTGCAGATATTTAATTGGCAAAAGTCCAATAATTAACTTTAATTGTTGGCTTTTCAGTTAACAAATATATCGTGAATAGATAACAGTTCGTTTACTTCGATTTGTACTGATGAAAGACATAGTTGCCGCACTTCCTCATCGATATACGTCGCGAAAGGTCGCATTATCTCGTCCTTTCATCTGTATATATGTATATAGGTAAAAGACATAAATACAACGACTATGCAACAATGACAACCAATATGAAAGGCAACTGGTCGAACGTGAAGAATTTGTTTAAAAAGTTAAAGTCTACGATTCACGAAGTTCTTAGCGTGTTCAGGAACGAACACCTATAAAAGTCAGTACCCAAGTGAACGCGAAACCGCAGACAACGAGGAACTAATGTTAATGACCCAGCTGTCAGCGATAAAACACCAAACAAAACTTACGACAGTCGAACAATGAATTAAGCATCACGCACGACGAGAACAAAACCGAATGGCAACATGTGAACAGCTTGAAGAATAGAAGAACAAACAACACATCTCGTACATTTATGAACGGCAACTTGATGATGAATTACCAGATGGATCATCGAGACAGAAACGGATAGAATAGCTCGAAAAATCATCACTACGCATCCAAAGAAACAAGTTATAACGACATCAATAAGAATACAGCTATAAATACAAATAAAAGTTCGAAAAATACTGCATCATCCGCAGCGTGCTTCTACCTAGTGAGCATACAAATCAACACCAAAATAAGGTACCAACTGCAAATCAAGAATACGAACCCATACCGCAAGAATTTTCCTATATCTGAGCATGTAGTCCGCTATGCTATCGAACAACACTTTCCACCGTTCAAGTTAATCTGCGAACCAAAAATCACGGGAAAAGTTAAGCTAAAAATCTTCTTAAAGAATCATTCTTGCCAATCAACAAAAAATTCCAGAAACTCAATCCAAAATACACTAAACCAATAGCTTTTGACTACTGATTCATTGATCGTGATGGAAACCGATCCTGTTTCACTAGCAGTATCGAATCATTTATCTTTATCTGCGACGGATCAAATTGTCCCGATCATATTCGACAATGCCCATTCACTAACAGGTGTCATTCGTGTATAAATCTAATCATAAATGTATACTTCTTTCTTTTGCTCTACCATAGGCCACATATATATTAATATCTCTCTGTTCTGTTCTGTTCTACAACCTTGTGTATACAACACAATGTGTATAAATTTCTTTTCTACCTTCTTGGTGTCTATTCAATTCATTTACTTGTGAACTCATACTGGCACAGTAAATTGAAAATAATTGTAAACTATTTTACATATGCACACACATATCCAACGACGAAAATAAGAGATCCTTTTCAAAAGGGTGCTCAAAACAATTATCAACAGAACTTGCAAGGACTTTAGTCTATACAGACAGGTAATTTCTAATTAATATTCCTTAAATATAAATAAGTATTCCTTACCGAAAGAATTTCTCGTTTATAGTTTCTGGCAATCTAGTAGAGGGAAAATAACTTTTCTTCTTTTTATCTTTTATCTTCTCACATTTCATACTTACTGAAATTTTTACAATAGTTTATTTTGTTCAAACTCGCTTTTGCCAATGCAAAATGCATCGGTCTATTGATCAATCATAATCCCCTAACATTTCTATACTCTCATCACGCGTCGAAAATGAAATTGTCCATTTGGAATCATCAATTCGAAAATAAACAGTAAGTCTACACGAAACGTTCTGCATTTTGATTTGCATTTTGCTTTCACTTTATATTTTCTCGAAAAGAACGTATGAAATTCATATATCGTAAACGAGAGAGGCAAATAACAACAAGAGGAATCATTAAGATATTGATTTTATTAATCGAATCATCATGCCGAAAGTCAAAAAAAAGTTCTAACAAGAACTATTGTCAATCGTAAATCGTTGAACACGATCGTTTGTGTAGTCAGCAACGTATAAGTTTCCACTTTTGTCCAGACGAATTCCATACGGATTGTTCAGTCTTGACGGCGTAGTACCAGTCAAACCAGTCACACCCACTACCAACGTTCCATTTCTTGCATCTTTCACCCATTTCATGATTCTGTGATTTGCGNAATAATTGAATGCTGATGTTGAATGATTCGATTGTATCATGTCACAGATACATTCATTCCTAGTTATGTTCAATATAGTCTTATCAGCGTCTCCAATAATGACGAAATTATCGATTTTGCCCAATAAAATACAATTCATCGACGAAAGAACGGAGAGTAAAACGCATGCTCGAAGCATAGCTGGTATTTTGAGAAATGCTTGAGAAACTTCATTTTGTTCTCATTCTGTATTCTCTGAATATTTTTCTTGGACTGGAAACAAACACAGCGATTGTTCAGGTTGTCACTTCAAGTGTACAAGAATAGCAACTGAGAAGCAGAGTGTTCTTTTTGTCTTTGAATACTTTTCTCAATAATACTTCTTGTCAGAGAGAAGAACCCATAGAAAACACTGGGCTTTTTCTTTGAGAAACGAAGCAGGACGTAGTAAAATCAATTATAATTATAACTGAAGAACTTTCATATTAAAAATTGGAAAAGATTTTATTATGATATAAAGAAAATGTCACTCCCGTTATCAAGATTCTAATTATATTTTGAAATAGACAATTCTCAATATATGTCATAATCTAATCGCTCTCTTTTCCGTGAGAATCGTTTGGGAACTTCTATGCATACACAGAGTACAACAAACTTAAACAAACCGTGTAAGTAAGATATAAAAACCAAGCGTCTGCACAGTTATGTTCAACTCCCATGCAAAAAGACATTTAGGATCTCCAAAAGGAAATTGTGTATAAATGATTCGTGAACTCTAAGTTGATATCGTGGAATTCAAGTAGACACAGTTAACTTATCTTTAAGGCTACAATGGTATTAAATACACGATTTTTGGCAACCGTGTATGTTGAATCAGACTCAAAAATCAAGTTCATTTTCAGTTTTTCACACTGCAGAAATTATAAATGAATCGCTTATTCTCTCGGATAAAGTTAACAAGAAAAAAGATCTTGAGGGTAAGGGGTGAGGGTGTGTCCGGGAAGAACTCTTACTCTTAGGAATATACTTCTTTCTGTGTTTTCATTTCTCATCTATACCTTCCTCTGTGGTGTTCTTTGTTCAAGTTGATCAATTTGGTACATAAATTTTTTTACTGAAGTTAAAGTCAATAATAAAGCTTATTAGTTTTTTTGAGAGAGATATATATCCTAAAGAATTCAACAGTCTATTTTCATTTTAAACCAAAACTAAATTGTATATCTCAATGAATTTGATTTTTTAGAGGGAGTATCTTCAACTGAATTTAGTCATAGCCTTAGAATTTTCTGCAAGTTTAATAATCGCGATGAGCATCTCTGGTTTAAACATATATCTGAAGTATATTGAAACGATAATCAGTCTTCTTACAAACTCTTCTTGAGGATTCTGTTTGCATTTCAACATCTGAATTATATTTAGAATGTTGAAAAACCTTTAAAAATGTATAGTGCTATAATTGAGGAAAGCTTGTCTATTATCATAGAAAAGCTCCCAAAGATAAAAATCTTACGCAACTTTCTGTCCCCTATCTCCGCAAAACTTTCTATGTATACATCACTGTTTTGTACAAATAAATTTTGTTTGTCGAAGCGTATTTCAATCTTATACCATACTGTACTATGATGCATGTGCAAGTTTTCTTCTTTATCAGTCGATCCTTTCTTTTATCGCTTTTATATATTGTCATATTTGACTCGGTCTTATTAGCCGTAGGCTTGAAAGATATCTCGTAAAGACTTCTTCTTCAAATACATAATTAGTATTGCGCAAATAAAAACAAGTCGAAAAGATAAGTCTTTTCTTGTTGCATAAATACTCGTGCTTTTAAGCAAATCATTTCATATATCTCGCTGAAAACAAAACAAAGTTTGTCTGTTCTCCGTCCCTTTTTCGTGCGCAATATAACTATAGGTGCAAGTAAATAGTTTTATTGTGAGTTAATACGATGGTTAGACCAAATACATTGACTATTATTCTTATTACACTACTCACACTCAATATTTATGGATAATTAAGCTTATCACGTCAGAAATATTGTGAATTGAACTCATGTGACAATGGTGAAAATGATTTCGATTCACACTTAACAGATGAAGAGGCAGGTAAATCGTCATACACATTTGCCTTCCTCAAATAAGTTCAATATATTAAAATTTATTCAATTTTTAGTTAATGAATACATCACACGACATAGAGTTGATAGACTAGATAACTTCATCAAAGCTAGACTTGATGGTAAGTAAGGTCATGGTTTTGAATTCTCGACACATAATAAATTGTGCTGCAAGTTAACTTTCGTTTCTTTTAGGTATTGACAATATGCCGGTGAAGATTGCAATAACTGGTACATCGGGAAGCGGAAAATCAATGTTAATTAACACACTTCGAGGTCTGAGTCCAAGTAAAATCGATCGGTTCACATAGGTATATATTTGATACCATTTTCTTTTTCGAGATGACGTTGGCGCCGCTGCTATAGGTCCAACAGAAACAACAATGGAAATCCAGAGATATTCACATCCGAAGAAGAAAAATTTGAAATTTTATGATTTAACGGTATGTAATTCCGCATCATCAAAATACTTAGAGTGCAATTCTCGTATTCGGCATAAATTTAGGGGGTTGGCACACCGAATTTTCCAAAAGAAAACTACTTGAAATTGGTTAATTACCAGAAGTATGACTTCTTCATTATTGTCAGCAGTAAACGATTCACAGAAAATGATTTGTGGTTATCACAAGAACAGAAAACATATGGCAAAGCGTTCTTTTTTTGTTCGTTCCAAAGTTGACGAAGATCTAGTTAATGAGAAACGTGATCATCCAGAGACTTTCAATGAAGAAAAAATTTTACAGAAAATTAAACAGGAATGTCTTAAATATATCAAAAGAGTTGATTCCACAGCAAAAGTTTTTGTCATTTCCGGTCTTCTCGAAAATACACGAAGGTTTGACTACGCGCTAATGGAACGAACATTAATCGAATCATTTCCAATTTACAAACGACAAGCCATGATTATGTCAATGACAATGACCAACAAAGGTAGCCAGTCTATCATTCTGTTCCACAGAGAGTTTTGTATTTCTCCTACTTTCAGAAGGAATTAAAGCAAAAGTCGAAGCCTTACGATCAAGAGTATGGATGATTGGTTTGCTTAGCGCAGGTTTTCACATGAATTCTGAAATAGGTTTTTTCCTCATATAAAAACCTTCTTTTTAATATTTCTAGGAGTATGTACCATTCCAGTTCCAGTCTTCGGTCTGTCATTGCTAATTGATTATATCTTGATAAGCGACACCATAGCTGAGTATAGAGATCATCTGGGTCTAGATGACGTGTCTTTACAAAAGCTGGCAAGACGTCAAAACTTGTCCTTAGATGAAAGTTATGCAAAACTTACAGGCAAATGGATGTTTGGCTTACTCAAAAATAGTGTGAAACAAATTCTGTTTGACTTCTCCAAAGAGCGCACTACAAAAACGATTATCGAAGAATCCGCTCAATTTATTCCAGTAGTTGGATGAGGTCTAAGAGCAGCTAGCACCGCTCAGATGACGATAGCTGCTATCAATGACTCATTGAAGGAAATGTCAACAGCGGCTTTTTCGATAATCGATCTTATTGATATAGACACACGTGTGTATTGCTTATTGAATGTGTAAAAACAACAGTTGTGCTTTACATTGCCTTATTTATTTTTCAGAGACGAGAAAAAACTGAACGATTGCTCAATTGTTAACATTGCAATGCCTAATGATTTCATTGTATTTTTCTTTTTTTCCAGTCTTAAACATTTTGAAAGCTTTGATTCCGTTCATTTTTATCATTCTACACATTATTCTTTCTAGTGCTGTGTTCAATAAAAATATACAATTGAATCCGATTTTGTGTATTATCCACAGCACGAAGAAAAGTAGAAAGGGAAGAGTTTCAATCACTTTTTTTGCGGATTATCAGAGTTGCGTTTTCAAGTGCTACAGGAAAAATTTGATCATTCTTTTTTGCCAGTATCTGTAATATGATTTGAATAAATAGATCTGAATTGGTACTTTATATTATGTGGTTGCATCAAGTTGCGTTACTATTTGACACTCAGAAAGAAGTACCAACCCTTCACAGTTGAAGGCTAAGTGAGTCGAGACTGCGAACGTTAATAATTACGATTACAACTCCTATCTCTTGACAAATTGCTATTTTTGTAACAAAGTTCAATTGCAGGCTTGAAAATACTACCCGATTGTAATTCGCAAAAGAGCAGTAAGATTAGCGCTGGTGACTTGATTAGTGTTGAAAATCCGCAATATCATTTTATTATGCAATGAATGATAAGAGCAGGGTACATGAAAGTTAATATATATGCATTTTATCTTCAGAAAAATAAAGCGTACCAAACCAATGTAACTGCGTGTCTATAGAAAAATCAAGTCATAATAACTGAAAAATTTCCCTAAATGACATTGAAGCACTTTCACTTTACTTTTCATTTGTAGAAAAAAGCATTTGAAAGTGACATGCTCCAAAGGGAAAGAAGAAAACAACGATACAAAAAGCCAGCAAGAGATTGACACTATTCGAGAGCATTTTAGTCAACTACTCCTTAGAAATCCAAAAGGTGTCTCTAACAAAAGCTATTATCAATAGCAAGTCACTGGACGAGATCATTGCTATGGTCAACCATGTACAAGTTGCCATCTTTGGTCAGCAGTGATGGTGTCACAGCAGCGTTCCATTGTTCGCATTCTTTAGCCATTTCATGGTTTTTGTGATTTGAAGCGTCACTGACATAGACCGCCAAACGAGTCTACATAAACATATCGTGGATAATTCGATTGATTTTACGACCAGTCTTGACCATTACCATCGACAATCAATGTTCCATTTGTACTATTCACAAACCATTCGAACACACGATGATTGCAGCAATCGGGAATGTACGGTATATCGTTATCAGATTCATCAACATAAATGTCAGTGGGTGTATATCATCGATCGAAGGCATTTCTTTGCGAACCATTGCCAGCAACTATCGTACCTAGTGTGGATGGATTTGAATTCGGTGAGAATTTAACAACTTCATGGTGACAAAAGTCTGATAGATAAAGGTAATCAAATCCTATAAATAATAGAAAAATTGATAAAATTTCGTATTAGGAAGTAACAAAAGGACAGAAAGTGGCGACCAACATATATTCCAACGTTTCCATTAAAGTGTTCAACGAAGATCCACACTCCGAATCTCCATCAACAATTGTAATATTATCTAAACCTTTATCATTCAAACTGCCATTGAGCCATCGTACGATGGTTCTGGCTAGAAGGAAGAATTTTGTAACAGAATCGTTCGTGAAAGATAGTTTTTCTCTGACAAGATCGATTTGAGTACATTGAGCAACACTCATCTAATTGGATAATCAAGTCTGAGTGATTTAATCATAGAAGAGAAGTATTGAGCAGATGTTGAGTATCACTGGTAGAGACGTTCGGATAAAACAGTTGCCATATTTGATCATCTGACTAATTATTCAAAGCTGATATCGAATGATCCGATTGTATCATCTCACAGACACATTCACTTCTTGTTTTGTTGAACAAGACCAGATCAACGTGTCCAGTGATGATAAAATCGTCGATTTTGCCGAGTAAAATACAATAGAGCTATGAAATCATGGAGAAAAGAACACATGTTTGAAGCATTTTTGATCGGTTAAAAGTGTTGAAGGAATGTTTTTTCTTATTCTATTCTTTGAATGTTTTCGTCGAGATGAAAACACAACTGCAAATATTATGTGATAGAAAAAAATGCATGACTGCTACAATAAACCATGTTGCAGGTGGTGGAACATGTAAGAAAAGAAAATGAAAGTCTTTTTTCCGTATTCGATTACTTTTCTTGATCAAAGCGCTTAAATACGAAAAGAAGATGTGTGATAATTGATGAATTAAAGCATATCCAGAAATGAAGTTTTTCTTTTCCAAAAGAAAATCACCTATGTTAAAAACATCGAAAGATGAAACAACAAACAGAAAAATGCATATATTTAAAATGATTCTGAATTCATTATGTTGCAGAAGCTTATTCTATCGAAAAGATTTCACGATGAGCGATTATTGGAGAATTCATGTTACACGTATTGAAAAAAATATTTAAAATCAATGTCGAATTTAAATGACGATTCTTTACTGCAGGAACAGTTTGCTATGGATCGTACCAGAACAAGGTAGCGAGAAAAAAAATGAATGGATCAAATTATGCATATTAATTTAAAACAGATGGAAATGTATTGGGAAAAGCTTTATGCGAATCACGTCGCAGAGCACTACGGATTCAGTTGCGACGAAGTTCAAGGAGGGTCTCTTATGTTTTAAATGATTTACAGGATATTTTCGTTAACCAGTTTCTGTATAGTAATCATCAATGTGCTATATAATAGATTAGGGTGAGCCTATAACTACAATGAACGAGCATTATATCGATTGGTGCCACACAGAGAGTGACGCGAAAAAATATCCTATATCACATATGTTAGCTTAGTTTTTCAAGGCAATCCACACCCTCTTCAAACTTGACTTAACTAACATGAAAATGCTTCCGCATTTCTTTTTATTTTATTAGAAAATGAAAAATCATGTATCATCACAGAAGTAACGATTTGATTTTAAACTATCCGATGTTTAGTAGCGCAACGTCTCAGAAGTCTAACAAGAACTATTGTCAATGGTGAAACGTTGAACGCGATCGTTTGTATAGTCAGCAACGTACAAGTTTCCACTTTTGTCCAAACGAATTCCATACGGATTGTTCAGCCTTGACGGTGTAGTACCAGTCACACCAGTCACACCCACTACCAACGTTCCATTTTTTGCATTTTTCACCCATTTCATGATTCGGTGATTTGCAGTGTCACTAACATAAACTGTACCGAACGAGTCAACATAGACATCTCGTGGATCGTACAATTGGTTGAACGAGCTACCAAGACCATTACCACCAGCAACCACTGTTCCATTCGTATCATTAGCACGATATTTCATCACTCGATTATTCAAGCGATCAACAACGTACAATGTATCGTTGTCACTTTCATCAACAAAAATACCACTGGGTGTGTTTAGTTGATTCAACGCACTACCTGCAGTGCCAGTCCCAGCGACTATGACACTCAGTGTGGAAGAAGTCGAGTTAGGAGGAAACTTGAGTACTCGATCATTGTTACAGTCCGAAACATAGATATTGCTGAACCCTATTCACAACAGAAAAAGATGGTGGATTAGACAACAGAAAACAAGAAAAGAATGAATACTAACGATCAACATATATCCCATCACTCCAATAAAAAGTGTTCAATGAAGATCCACACCCTGAACCTCCGACAGCCACTGTGACATTGTTCGATACCATATTCCACTTGAGAACGCGACAGTTGTGCGTGTCGGCTATGTACAGATTTGACTCCGTCGAATCTAAATAAAGTGCTGTGGCACTGTGCAGGTGTTGTGTATCTGGACCGACGCCGAAGCCTAATTGTGGGCCGACAACTGTACTATTAGCACTGCCATTAATCCATTTCATGACACGATAGTTTGAATAATCGGCCACATACAGGCTCAGTGCTGAATCGACTGCGATATCGAATGGATTGTTGAGTTGTGATGAAGATGATCCACTATTACCACTGGCTGATCCGGCAATAGTAGTGCCATTGGGATTCCAAACAGCGGATGGACACACTGTTGGTCGTACGACTGATCTTGCTGAAATGAAGAATTTCAGAATAGAATCGTTAGAGAAAGGCATTATCTTCATAGTTACCTAACTGAATAGCTAGATTTGATTGATTAACGAATAAAATAACGGTATTCAGTTGATATTGGACATAGATGAAAGTGACGTTCGAATAGAACAGTTGACAAGTTTGATTATTTGAGTAATAATTGAATGCTGATGTTGAATGATTCGATTGTATCATGTCACAGATACATTCATTCCTAGTTATGTTCAATATAGTCTTATCAGCGTCTCCAATAATGACGAAATTATCGATTTTGCCGAGTAAAATACAATTGACGAAAGAAATAACGGAGAAGAGAATATATGCTTGAAACATGGTTGATATTGGAGCTAATTTATAAAGAAATAACTGTTCTCATTCCATTTTCTGAATAATTATATAGAATAAAAAGCCAGTACAAATGCTATGGGCGATGAAACGTGCAGCAATACCGGTAATAGTGAAAGATGAAGGAGGAAATGAGCGTTTTTTCTACGGAATCTGATAATTTTGATTAATTAGAGTTGTCATAAAAGATATTGGTACGAGGTGTAAAAATGGTGAATAGAATGGTTTTCTTTGTTTCGAGAGAAAGGTATTTTTCAGCAAAATTTCACCGGAGGTAATATGCAATCTTGAAGGTCATGTTACTCCGAAGAATCGCAAATTTTGTAGTTTAAAAAGTATTTTACAATGCAACATCTTTAACAACATTTACACTTGTGTAGCATATTAGCAATATATTTTAATGAAACTCAGAGTTCGTAGAAAATTTTCATACCTTCTTATTGGTGTTGCAGTGACACTATCAACGCGTTTGATACAAAACGTTATTCTCTTTGTGACGCATGTTTGATTGAGAGAGTTTGTATCATGTTGCTATCGAAGAGGGTTTCCTGTTTGTATAACATATGCATCATCTAATAACTTCTCCATCAATCGTGTTCATGTACGCAGAAAATCAGGATGCTAATCATCCTAACTGGTTAACCTATATGACTGATATAGTGTCATCTTAGCAAAGACTTTTCAGATTAAACTGTCGTGTGAGAAAAAGTGTATACAATTCGTTAAATTAACAGCGTGTACCTTGGTGAATTCGAAAGAAAAAATAATTCATGACAGCTAACTAATACTTGTAATAATTCGGATTTAAAAATGAGAATAAACGTGTTGTTAACATAATCGACGAACAAATGGATCATTTTGAGTTACCAGCATAAATGGTTCGTTAACAGAGTTCAACAAGAAAATTTCCTTTTGTTCATTACGTTCTAAATTGATTGGTTGCATCAGTATAAAGTTTTGCAATACAGATACTTGATTGGTAAGTTCAATAATTAAGTTTAATTGTTGACTTTTCAACCAAAAAATATATAGCTAAATACAACGTGCTATTTCTAAGTAATATATGCATAATCATTATCAATAAAGAATTAGTACACTAGCAACTATAAGTTTATTATCAGAATATAAACATCGACATACAACGACTATGCAACAATCACAACCAATATGAAAGGCAAACTAGTCGAAAGTGAAGAATTTGTTTAAAAAGGTAAAGCCTACAATTCACGAAGCACTTCATGTGTTCAGGAACGAACACCTAAAAGTCAGTACCCAGGTGAACGCGAAACCGCAGACGACGAGGAACCAATGTTAATGACCGATGAAACACCTACACAACCGAAAAATATAATACGTCGTAATGACGTCAGCGATAAAACATCAAACAAAACAGACCACAGTCGAACAATGAATCAAGCATCACACACGACGAGAACGAAACCGAATGACAACATGTGAACAGGTGGAAGAATAGAAGAGCAAAAAATATATCTCGTACATTTATGAACGGCAACTTAGTGATGATTTATCAGATGGGTCATCGAGGCAGCAAAGGATAGAATAGTTCGAAAAATCATCACCACCTGCAAAAAAACAAGTTATAACGACGGCAATAATAATATAACAATAAATACAAATAAAAGTTTGGAAAATACTACATCATCCAGCGTGTCTCTATCTAGTGAAGATACAAATCAACACCAAAATAAGGTACCAACTGCAAATCAAGATTACGAACACATGCTGCAAGAATTTCCTATATCTGAGCATGCAGTACGCTATGTAATCGAACAACACTTTCACCGCTCAAGCTACTCTGTGAACCGAAAATCACGAAAAAAGTTAAGCTTAAAATCTTCTTAAAGAATCATTCTCACCAATCAACAAAAAATTCCAGGAACTCAATTCAAAATACACTAAACCAACAGTTTTTGACTACTGATTCATTGATTGTGATAGAAACCGGTCCTGTTTCACCAGCCGTATCGAATCATTTCTCTTTCTCTGTGACGGATCAAATTATCCCGATCATATTCTCAACTAAAATTCGCTCAACTCCACCTAAACGTCTACCAACGCAACGTTCCGTTTTCCTCTTCCATTTTGCGCAATTTTACTACATATATACTTTACTTTAACTGTTTCAAGGAATGATTGGATTAGACTAGAAATGAATCATAAGTAAGAGAATATAGTAGAATATACATATTCGATAATATCCACCACTAACAGATGTTATTCGTGTACAAATCTAGTCATCAATATATGCTTCTTTCTTTCACTCTACCATATGCCACATACATCTCTCCCTGTTCTGTTCTACAACCTTATGCATACAACTCGATGTGCATAAATTTCTTTTCTAAGTACCTTCTTGGTGTCTATTCAAATGATCTACTTGTGAACTCATACTGACACAGTAAATTGAATATAAAAAAGACATGGCTGCTAAGCCACAGTCATCATCTGTTAAAATATTGGCTAAATGATTGTTGAATATAATTGTAAACTATTTTACATATCATTGATAAACAAATATATAAGAAGCAGATGCGAATACAATCGATAACTACTGTATCGAAACGATTTGAATGTTGACATTCAAGAGCGTTCGTCGAAAAATGTCCTCATATATCTAGTAGAGGAAAATAACTTTTCTTTTTATCTTTCACCTTCTCATATTCCATGCACATTGAAATTTTTACAATAGTTTATTTTGCTTAAACTCGTTTTTGTCAATGCAAAATGCATCGGTCTATTCTATACTCCCATCACGTGTCGAAGATGAAATTGTCCATTTTGAATCATCAATTCCAAAAATAAACAGTAAGTCTACACGAAACGTTCTGATTTCGATTTGCATTTTGCTTTCTCTTTCTGTTTTCTCGAAAAGACCGTATGATACTCATATATCGTAATCAACAGAGGCAAATAACAACAAGAAAAACCATTAAGATATTGATTTTATTAATCGAATCATCATGTCGAAAGTCAAAAGAAAGTTCTAACAAGAACTATTGTCAAGAGTGAAACGCTGAACGCGATCGTTTGTATAGTCAGCAACGTACAAGTTTCCACTTTTGTCCAAACGAATTCCATACGGATTGTTCAGCCTTGACGGTGTAGTACCAGTCACACCAGTCACACCCACTACCA